GTGCAAACAATTGAAAGAAATCACGCATAATGTAGCCTGAAATTTATAAAAAATATTCTGGCAATTTCATTCTCAAAATTGTTTGCATTTATCTTTTGTTTTGAATCCTCAATGTTAGATTTATATTTTATGAAATTGGTATATAAAAGCAACATTCAAAGATTCCAGAAAAACACACTCACCACGTTCTAAATGACAAATTAGTTAATATCCAGTTGGGGATAGGGTTAGGAATGACTTGAAAATTTGAATTTCCAGCGCTATATTATCTAAATCGTTGGTGGTGTTTTTATTTTCAAATAATACAAATTGTTAACGGTAATGAAATTTATTTTTTCACCAAAAGGTATATAATAGAAGATAATGTTGAAAATGAACGCACAACTGTTGGCCGGACAGATAAACAAACTGCTAAATTTGTGCGATTTTTAAATGCCTTCGAAAATAATCAGAGAAAAATAGTGGATAGAAACCTAAAAATTTAAGAACATTGTCTTGAATATTACAAATTTGATTTTTGTTTTATGTTCAGTAAATTCGGCAAAAATTGGAGGAGTTGGGTATAAAAATATTGAGAAATATGTACACAAATTCAATTATATTTAACTTAATAGGACATTTTATCAAAATATTCCATGCTAATTTTTATTCATAACTCTACAAAAGGAAGACAAACATTTTCCAAACAATGCTTGCTAGTAATTTTGTCTTTGGCCCAAAATACACCTGAAAATGACATTTAAAATATGTCTTTTATACAGCATTAATCTTAAACATGTTGAGCTCCGTTACCAAGGGTGTTTTAATCTTATTAGTAATTGGAATTTTGAAAACAAATGGCGATTGCTGCGGTCGTGGTAAACACGGTATGTATATTTTTATACTTGTGTATTTTAAATCTCAACTTATCTGAACAATAAATTTAAAATGCGCAATTTTTTCTGTAATATCTCACTGGTTCCCAACGTTTGAAAAACTAGTTCAATTCCCTGTTCTTATGGGCTTATACCATTTTCGCCACAATTTTTCAGAAAAATGATTGTGAATTACAGTTGTACACGCACAAAAATTTCATTTTCAGTAACCCATATTTATTTTTATGAATTGTATGTTTTACCGTCGACTTTGGTTTTTCGTTTATCTCAGGATTTTGTCAAAATTGTGCGAAGGTTAGCTTTTGGGGAAGACAAAAATGTTGTGGCCTGACAAGTGGAAAGAAAGGTGGAGGATGCAATATATTTTGTTGCAATTGTATATGTGCTCATGGACATCCTATTATCACCTGTAAGTCTACTTACTTGTTATTATTCGTAGAAAAGCAACGAGGTATTTTTCCTATTCGAGTGATAATATTGATTAGAAAAATCAAAATGTTATTTAGTTTTGGTAACAATCTGGGCATTGATTCCACAATTAACAATAGCTATCAAAAATTCAATCCGTTGGATAAATTTTCTGTTTCGACCGGCTCCGTGTCTACAGTGAAAGTATGTAGCTTTTGCCGTGTCGCGTCACCAGCATTCTCGGTTTCTTCTTCGGCAAGTTTATGTGCTTACTGCTTACAAGCTTAAAATGAGAAAAATCATATAAAAATGAGTCTGTCTGAAGATGGTCAGATTTGTTCTTTCAGCATGTGTTTATCGACTCTTTGCTTAGTTACTTTGGAGTTCATTATAACTGAGAAATTCGGCGGAAATGATGACATTAATGATATATATTACAAATTTTTTGAAACGATTTTTCAATTTTACTTAGACAAGAGATACTTGAAAGAGGGCGAAAGAAGCCACTACACTTGTAAGAAAGACGTTCATACCGTTCCTCACGGTGATGTTGACAGATACATCGACCACGATTCCAAGAAAAGCGCTTGGGAAGTTTTCAACAGCGTCGATCAAGACCAGGATCTCAAAATCAACCGGAATGAGTTTTTCGACGCTATCAAAGCTCGCTTGTCAGTGAGTAGAAATGAAGAAATATACCTTACTAAATTTACTATATTTAATACTACTACATTAGATAAAAAAGAGACGCAAATATGTATAAATTTCTGCTATATTTTGCCATATTCCGGGGAATTGAGTGGAAAATAAGATAATTTAAGAAAACGAGTTATCAAGTGAAACGTGAAGAGTAAAGTATTTGTAAAAGCATTCCCAAATCAACGATATTTTGCCAGAAATATTGCTATGCTTGTTATACATTTCAAACGATATCACCACTAATACCCAATAGTAAAACATCAAAATGATTGAATAGGATCTGGCACTGACTCGATATAGAATTTAGGAATTACTTTTTTGGTCAGGTATAAAAATAGGAGAAACAACTCAATACGAAATGCTGAACTGACGAAATTCCAAAAAAAATCGCAAAATTCGTAAAAGCTTGTATTCGTACGTAGTGCTAACTACGATATGACCCGGTAAACGGTAACATTGTGTATACTCTTTGATTTGAATAAGAATTTCCATGTGTTCAATGTGTTTTTACTAACAGGATGACAACGATGATGCTGACTTATTCGCATCTCATCTGCTGAATACCGATTTCCTCGACACAATATCCGCCTATTTAGATGCTGATGATGAGGTGGTTCATGATACCGTGAAGGAACGTGCCATGCGTTCAATTTTCCAGGAGTTTGATAAAATGGATGTGGATGAAGACGGGTATATCCAGGCTGGCGAATTCGACAAAGATTTAAAATAAACCAAAAGTTATTCCTATTGCCAGAAATTTGATTTTAGATTGAACTATAATATCATGAACTGAGAAAATTTCATTTCCGTAACATATAATAGGTTGCTTTTTGTACATATACCAAATAAAAAGTCACAGACTGATTGTTAACTATTTGACTTTTAAAATCTTTCCGGTCTCAATTTTTGAAGAAATATTTTGAAATAAGAAGTACACTGAAAAGCATCTTATGTGTTATTGACTGTTGTTTATTTGTGATAATTTACAAACCATATATTATATACCACATTTTCTTGGACTTTATCATGTTTGGTATTAGCGAGGCATTAAGATTCTATAATATCGTGTCGTGAGCCAAGGACGTATATTCATGGGGTAATCCCATTTTGAAATGTGAACAAAGCAGTTTTCTGTATCAAACATAGCAATTTTTGAGCTTGAAACGCTCTTACACCCTCAAAACTCCCGAGAACTCTTGTTTTCCGACCAGACCCGCTAGATGTTATGATCTAACTTCAGATTTCTTCAAATTGCAGAACCCCTCCCTTTAAAGATTCCTGGCTAACATTGGAAGTTAACGATAATTTTAGTGCTATTTCAATATTATTTTATATAATGATTATTTTGAGCTTGTCGGTGTGATTTAGAACCAGTCCAATCATTCAATGATAGTTGGTCACAGACCTTTCGATTATAGAAAATTCTAAGATTTAAGAATTGACTGAGATTTTTCTGACAATATGGCAGTAACCACTGTTAGGAAAGTGATATTTTTGACTTTTATATTATAATATACTCAAATTTGCATTCAAACATTGTATGGTTGTATTGTATTGTATTTATGATTGTGGTGGCAGAAAGATTTCAGTGATATCTGCATCGATTCATATTCACAATGGAAACCTTGTTTCGTTTACGTCCGGTAAATACCGCCTTCATCATCATCAAAGCACGCAATTCATATATGTACTGAAATGGTTTACAAAATTTCACTCCACTGGAAAAACTTTTTCTAAAATATATACCGAGCAAATTTGGTGATTCAATTGGAAATTTGAATTTGTGAAATATTTTGCGGAAATTTTCATTGGCAATAGACAAAAGCGGGAAGCAATTTGATGTTATACAAATACGCTTGGTAAAATATTTTAAAAAAAAAATTTTCACGGAAAAATATTCCTTCGAGACCTGACGAAATTTTCTTTCTATGAGCCACATTTTGACGAATGTAAAGTGCAATCCTGCCCTACGCAAATCATTTGAACTTATGATTTATCAATTTTGGATTAATAAGTCCTTGTCAAAGTCCTGCGCAACTTCATGAGCAAAGTATTGCTATCCTATTTAAAATTCGAAATAATTTCAATTCTAACACAAAATATACAAAAATACGAATAATTTGGTAAAATGAATCTGATTTCGAAACTCACCCAGTATTCAAAACATAAAAATGTAAATGGGAAAATCTGACAAAAAACTAAAAAAAAAGGTGTAATAGCGCAAATGAATGGTGAATGCATATTTGATTTATTCAAATAAATGACTAACTGATCAAAAATCATTAATGTTAAAACTGAATAGGCAGAAGAACATGCAAATCTTGCAACTTCATTTGCACTGGAAAATTTTGCGAATCATATTTTTCAATCTCAGCATTTCCTCTAATTGTGCAAACAATTGAAAGAAATCACGCATAATGTAGCCTGAAATTTATAAAAAATATTCTGGCAATTTCATTCTCAAAATTGTTTGCATTTATCTTTTGTTTTGAATCCTCAATGTTAGATTTATATTTTATGAAATTGGTATATAAAAGCAACATTCAAAGATTCCATAAAAACACACTCACCACGTTCTAAAAGACAAATTAGTTAATATCCAGTTGGGGATAGGGTTAGGAATGACTTGAAAATTTGAATTTCCAGCGCTATATTATCTAAATCGTTGGTGGTGTTTTTATTTTCAAATAATACAAATTGTTAACGGTAATGAAATTTATTTTTTCACCAAAAGGTATATAATAGAAGATAATGTTGAAAATGAACGCACAACTGTTGGCCGGACAGATAAACAAACTGCTAAATTTGTGCGATTATTAAATGCCTTCGAAAATAATCAGAGAAAAATAGTGGATAGAAACCTAAAAATTTAAGAACATTGTCTTGAATATTACAAATTTGATTTTTGTTTTAGGAAAGGAAGACAAACATTTTCCAAACAATGCTTGCTAGTAATTTTGTCTTTGGCCCAAAATACACCTGAAAATGACATTTAAAATATGTCTTTTATACAGCATTAATCTTAAACATGTTGAGCTCCGTTACCAAGGGTGTTCTAATCTTATTAGTAATTGGAATTTTGAAAACAAATGGCGATTGCTGCGGTCGTGGTAAACACGGTATGTATATTTTTATACTTGTGTATTTTAAATCTCAACTTATCTGAACAATAAATTTAAAATGCGCAATTTTTTCTGTAATATCTCACTGGTTCCCAACGTTTGAAAAACTAGTTCAATTCCCTGTTCTTATGGGCTTATACCATTTTCGCCACAAATTTTCAGAAAAATGATTGTGAATTACAGTTGTACACGCACAAAAATTTCATTTTCAGTAACCCATATTTATTTTTATGAATTGTATGTTTTACCGTCGACTTTGGTTTTTCGTTTATCTCAGGATTTTGTCAAAATTGTGCGAAGGTTAGCATTTGGGGAAGACAAAAATGTTGTGGCCTGACAAGTGGAAAGAAAGGTGGAGGATGCAATATATTTTGTTGCAATTGTATATGTGCTCATGGACATCCTATTATCACCTGTAAGTCTACTTACTTGGTATTATTCGTAGAAAAGCAACGAGGTATTTTTCCTATTCGTGTGATAATATTGATTATAAAAATCAAAATGTTATTTAGTTTTGGTAACAATCTGGGCATTGATTCCACAATTAACAATAGCTATCAAAAATTCAATCCGTTGGATAAATTTTCTGTTTCGACCGACTCCGTGTCTACAGTGAAAGTAAGTAGCCTTTGCCGTGTCGCGTCACCAGCATTCTCGGTTTCTTCTTCGGCAAGTTTATGTGCTTACTGCTTACAAGCTTAAAATGAGAAAAATCATATAAAAATGAGTCCGTCTGAAGATGGTCAGATTTGTTCTTTCAGCATGTGTTTATCGACTCTTTGCTTAGTTACTTTGGAGTTCATTATAACTGAGAAATTCGGCGAAAATGATGACATTAATGATATATATTACAAATTTTTTGAAACGATTTTTCAATTTTACTTAGACAAGAGATACTTGAAAGAGGGCGAAACAAGCCACTACACTTGTAAGCGAGACGTTCATACCGTTCCTCACGGTGATGTTGACAGATACATCGACCACGATTCCAAGAAAAGCGCTTGGGAAGTTTTCAACAGCGTCGATCAAGACCAGGATCTCAAAATCAACCGGAATGAGTTTTTCGACGCTATCAAAGCTCGCTTGTCAGTGAGTAGAAATGAAGAAATATACTTTACTAAATTTACTATATTTAATACTACTACATTAGATAAAAAAGAGACGCAAATATGTATAAATTTCGGCTATATTTTGCCATATTCCGGGGAATGGAGTGGAAAATAAGATAATTTAAAAAGACGAGTTATCAAGTGAAACGTGAAGAGTAAAGTATTTGTAAAAGCATTCCCAAATCAACGATATTTTGCCAGAAATATTGCTATGCTTGTTATACATTTCAAACGATATCACCACTAATACCCAATAGTAGTACATCAAAATGATTGAATAGGATCTGGCACTGACTCGATATAGAATTTAGGAATTACTTTTTAGGTCAGGTATAAAAATAGGAAAAACAACTCAATACGAAATGCTGAACTGACGAAATTCCCAAAAAAATCGCAAAATTCGTAAAAGCTTGTATTCGTACGTAGTGCTAACTACGATATGACCCGGTAAACGGTAACATTGTGTATACTCTTTGATTCGAATAAGAATTTCCATGTGTTCAATGTGTTTTTACTAACAGGATGACAACGATGATGCTGACTTATTCGCATCTCATCTGCTGGATACCGATTTCCTCGACACAATATCCGCCTATTTAGATGCTGATGATGAGGTGGTTCATGATACCGTGAAGGAACGTGCCATGCGTTCAATTTTCCAGGAGTTTGATAAAATGGATGTGGATGAAGACGGGTATATCCAGGCTGGCGAATTCGACAAAGATTTAAAATAAACCAAAAGTTATATCCTTTTGCCAGAAATTTGATTTTAGATTGAACTATAATATCATGAACTGAGAAAATTTCATTTTCGTAACATATAATAGGTTGCTTTGTGTACATATATATACCAAATAAAAAGTCACCGACTGATTGTTAACTATTTGACTTTTAAAATCTTTTCCGGTCTCAATTTTTGAAGAAATATTTTGAAATAAGAAGTACACTGAAAAGCATCTTATGTGTTATTGACTGTTGTTTATTTGTGATAATTCCCAAACATATATTATATACCACATTTTCTTGGACTTTATCATGTTTGGTATTAGCGAGGCATTAAGATTCTATAATATCGTGTCGTGAGCCAAGGACGTATATTCATGGGGTAATCCCATTTTGAAATGTGAACAAAGCAGTTTTCTGTATCAAACATAGGAATTTTTGAGCTTGAAACGCTCTTACACCCTCAAAACTCCCGAGAACTCTTGTTTTCCGACCGGACCCGCTAGATGTTATGGTCTAAGTTCAGATTTCTTCAAATTGCAGAACCCCTCCCTTTAAAGATTCCTGGCTAACATTGGAAGTTAACGATAATTTTAGTGCTATTTCAATATTATTTTATATAATGATTATTTTGAGCTTGTCGGTGTGATTTAGAACCAGTCCAATCATTCAATGATAGTTGGTCACAGGCCTTTCGATTATAGAAAATTCTAAGATTTAAGAATTGACTGAGATTTTTCTGACAATATGGCAGTAACCACTGTTAGGAAAGTGATATTTTTGACTTTTATATTATAATATACTCAAATTTGCATTCAAACATTGTATGGTTGTATTGTATTTATGATTGTTGTGGCAGAAAGATTTCAGTGGTATCTACGTCGATTCATATTCACAATAAAAACCTTGTTTCGTTTACGTCCGGTAAATACTGCCTTCATCATCATCAAAGCACGCTATTCATATATGTACTGAAATGATTTATAAAATTTCACTCCACTGGAAAAAAAATTTCTGAAATATATACCGAGCAAATTTGGTGATTCAATTGGAAATTTGAATTCGGGAAATAATTTGCGGAAATTTTCATTGACAATAGTCAAAAGCGGGAAACAATTTGATGTTATACAAATACGCTCGGTAAAATATTTTTATAAAAAAAATTTTACGGAAAAAAATTCCTTCGAGACCTGACGAAATTTTCTTTCTATGAGCCACATTTTGACGAATGTAAAGTGAAATCACGTCCTACGCAATTCATTTGAACTTATGATTTACCAATTTTGGATTAATAAGTCCTTGTCAAAGTCCTGCGCAAGGTCTTACGCGAAGAAGTAGGAGCGTTCGCTAAAACCCCAAATATACAAAGAAATGAAGGTATCATTATAGCGCAAGCGTTTGCTCACAGGTGTTGATCAGTTTAGGGCTTAGGCCAATGCATTCATGTGTACTGAATACATTTAGGTAAAGAGTCACATAACTGAATTTTTTGAATCTCAAGTAACTTGCTAAAAAATATTCACTGGACAAAAACGGATGAGAGCTCATTGACGAAGATCCGATTTACGATAAATTTGTAATGTTAACCAGAAAAGCATTAGCGAGAATGGCAATAACGGTAGGTAGAAGGACATTGGAATATATAATAGATTGAGCCTTGCTTCACCAAAACATTGCCAATATTTGATGCTTCTTGGTGCGAACCGTGCGATTTTCAAAAAAAACTTTGATTTTCCCCCAAAAAACATACTCCTTTTAGAAATAAATCTAAAAAGTGTGATTTTGAAATGCTGGAACAAAATTATGCACTAGATAAGGAAGTGATAGTCATATTCCAATGATAGCTCATTGCAATAATCAGAAGGCCACAATGCCGACTGCAAGCCACAATGACAACTGCTGCTGCTAATAATATAGCATTCACATTAAAATGAGGCAATTCAGATTTCTTTTCCTAATGAATTTAATTGCCAATATCATAGTTTATGCGTCAACAAATTCATTTTTTTTTAACTGCCTTATTTTAAGCTTGAAATTGTAAAAAAACTACCTATGTTACATCTTAGCTTATCCTTTCCACCTGTATTGAGTTCTCCCCCACTCTACGTGTGTCAGAAATAAAGCGGATATTATGGGTTATGCGAATTCATATTTTTATCATTAATTAATCATCATTAAAATAGATCATTAAAATAGAAATTAAATTCAAAGCATAAAATACTTGAACAGAAGGTTATTCTTGAATAATAAAATTCCCTTTTTGGGTAAATTAAATGAAAATTAGCATCTAATAAATACGGACAAGCATAGATACCATTTGTTGTAACTCATTCACAGGGCCCCAGAATCAAAATCCAGGTTATTTGGAACATATTTTAGAAAAACATAACTTTTGTTCAAAGAGTCCTAGATTACTGAAACGATGGGTATAATCATACACAAACGGGTCAAGGGTCAATATATATATTTTTTTCATTTTTGTAAAAGTAATGTATGAGTTAGGTTCATTTCAGGCCACCATGTATATTTTATCGGAAAGTACATTATTCCGTATTCAATACATAATGAAAAGCATAATGTTTTAAAAAAAGTAAATATGAAGAACTGCGGTAAGTCTAATATATACGATAGATAACAGTTTATCATGGGGCAAGCAGATCTGTGAATTGAAACGATATTAAAATTTACGAGTTTAAACATCTCTATTTAAAAACTTGATATTCAATAAAATTTTACAGTTTTACAGGTACTGATTGTCTTCATTAGTCCTTCTACATATCCATAATTTATTTATTCCAAATCGTGGTCGAATTCAGCAGCCTGAATCAAGCCATCTCCGTTGTCATCCATCATATTGAACTCTCGAGCAATAATCGAGCCGAGATTGTTTTCGACATCTTTATCAGCATCTTCCATCAATTCTTCGTCGTTGATCGCATCGATAAAAGACAGAATTTCACCTTTATCATTGGATTTCAGAAGATCGGAGGCCAAGAGATGGGCTTCGTTGTGCTGTATTTTTGGTATCAGAGAGTTAGACAGTTTAAGTTAAATATACCAATTTAAGCCTAGATTAGTGTATATATATATATATATATAAGTATGGATTCATAAACAATGAAACTAACCAATCTAGTAATTTGATAAGTAATGTAATCTCGCACACTCAATGCGCAAAACTTACTGACGGCAACAAAAATGCCGAATCTATTCGTCATACAACAAAATTCCCGATTATGGTTTACACACTCACCGACAGACGATTCTTGATGGCTTTCAAAAACTCGCCAGGGTTAATGACCATGTCCCCATCATCATCGATGCTGTTAAAAGTCTCCCAAGTATCTTTCATCTCTTCAATATGAATCTTGTCTTCGTCGCCTTCAGCGGTTTTGGTTGTGCATCGGTACTTGGCACTCAACCACCATCCGGCTAAAAAGAAACACAAACACAGTATAAGCAGTAGTATTAGTGGATACGAATTTCTCGTTATTCTAATGGGGCGAAGCATAAGCGTTGGTTTCCTAGCTCAATGATTTTTCGTGATTGGTGCCAAACCAACCCAAGGCTTCACATGCAAGGCTTCATTCACATGTAGCCCGTATTGCGAATCTTTCATAATTTTCACGTCGATATCGCAATGAAAACATCATCACATGAAATGCCTGCAAATGTCGATAAAGCAAGGTATGAATATAAAATTGAAGAAACCTTATTAGCCATCTAGAGCGCTAACAACATTCATTAAAATATTCTATTCTGAAAAAATAACTTAAAAATTACATACAGTTTACTACTTACAAAGTTTGACAAAGGTAGCATGGCCTTTTCTGCAGGAGCATGCACAGCAGAATACATTGCAGCCATGCCCATGTCCACTCCCGGTGCCACAACATTTTCGATGATTGATAGCACCAACCTTACTACAGTCGTTGCAATATCCTGTATTATGTAAATATGTTTACAATATCATAAAAAGTTCAACGGAATTTAAGTTAAGTTAAAACTGAATGTATATATATACTGCACATTCTATGCAGATTATTTAAAAATTCGATTCTACACTAAATGGTTAAGAACTTTTGATCATACCATTTCCAAACGAAATTATATACATATATATATATACATATAAATACTAACCCAATTTGCCATGTCCACAACATTTTGCTGAAGTTTCATAAATAGCCAGGCACGATAGAAATCCCAAAACCAACAGAATATTCATTTTGTTCGGTTAGAAATCACAATCTGAATACAAGATAGGAAGGATAAACGTTGTAACCCGAGTGCCAAGAGGTAGGTGAAGCTTTAGAGACGTTTTTTTACTATTATGGTGAAAACACTTTCTTCTGATCTTTTCTGTCCGACATGGGATAACCATGACATCATAAGATGTTGAGCATGTCTCAACACGAAATAAACTTTTAGTTTATAGTTAGAAATCTAGGTAAGCGAACGCAGTTAAATTGTGTACATCATTAGCGGAGCACTGAGAGGAAGACCTACACCTAGTTGGGAACGGTCTTGCATTTTATCGTGTGCCCATATTGTGAAAAAATGATCTACAAAAACATTTTTTCAAATGCAAAATACGTTTCCTGTTTTCTAGTCAGACAGAATTTTTTGAAGAATGCAAAATTTTTTTTGGAGTGTGATAAAGACCATATGCCAATGGGAACAGTATAGGTCAGCATCAAATATTCAAGTTTTAGCGTGACACAAAGTCAAAGCGTGATTCAAAGTCAACAAACGAAAGCTATTTTGATTAGATTGCGAAGCTTATATACCCAGGTAAAGGCAGTTAAATTGCGTACATCATTAGCGAAGCACTGAGAGGAAGACCTACACCTAGTTGGGAACGGTCTTGCATTTTATCGTGTGCCCATATTGTGAAAAAATGATCTACAAAAACATTTTTTTAAATGCAAAATACGTTTCCTGTTTTCTAGTCAGACGGAATTTTTGAAGAATGCAAAATTTTTTTTGGTGTGTGATAAAGACCATATGCCAATGGGAACAGTATAGGTCAGCATCAAATATTCAAGTTTTAGCGTGACACTGTCAACGCCTTGAAAATTCACGAGTCGCGACATCCTTCCGAAGTTATTGTTTCAACGGTTCAAAACTGGCTGATCAAATGGCAATAATTTCCCCGATATGATACCATCGAGTAGAATATACCCTATTGGGAATTTTCGGAGGTATTTTTGACCGTTGGGACTTCTTATAACCCGATAACCGACTATTCAATTTGATGTCTGCATGCACAGTCTGGCTTGGAAAACATAACTCGAATCAAATAAAGCCACATATCAGATCACGGTCAAATATACGATTTCGCAGCCAGACTAAGTTGAAAAAGCGACATTAAATGATTTATTGCTGATTTTAAAATTGTAATATTTGTTCAAAAAAAAAAAGGTCTCAGGATCAAACATCAAAATCAAACAAAGCGGTCGCGCAACATCGCTGTTACAAAACCAACCATAATGTTAATAAATTTTTCGTGATATTAAATAAATAAAATAAATTAGCCGGTGTAAAATTTCTAAAATGTGTGTTGATGCATACATTCGTAACTTGTCACATAATGAATGGATTTTCTACCCTGGAAAGATCATCAGAGATTGAGGAATTTCTCCGTTATCAGTAGGACGGAACTGCATATCGTAAAGCCACAAAACGCCACGCCAAATGGCTATTGGTAGTTTGGAAGGTATCCGAGAAACACGATTACGGGTTTTAATTAAGAACAATCTCTATTCGATACTTCGTGCCATTGATTCATTCCAGAGTTTGAAAAAATAAAATAGGTATTTTGAAAGGTGAGGTCCCGCCATTTCTTTTATTTTCGCATTTTACAAGAGAGATGCACATCCCAATGAGTTGATATATATATCCTCATTGCACATCCCGACGCCGCTCATTAACTTTTCGTAGCTACTAGTCCGGTGGTTCTTAAACTTTTTCTTCGCCATTCACTGTCGTATGCATAAAGCCATACTCAAATAGTGATCATCAGACCTTCTCCGTTTTCCACTCAGTTTGCAGTAGCCTACCTGGTAAAGTTGAACTAGCTTTCACGTGAAACTAAGCACGAAACAAACGTATATATGCGTACGTACGTATGTATTTTCTGCTTGAACGTTCAGTTAAGACACGTAAGATTTCAATCAAATGTTTACTTCATCACTATTGAGCAATGCAAAAACTATCTATTGTGTGTTAAAAACAAACAATGATAACAGACTTCTTGGCTTGCCTAACGTCTCCAAAATTCCCTACTAATACCTTTGGACAACCACCAGAATCAAAAATACAGTTTACAAAATAGAGAAGTGTAAATGAATTTATGTACATTTTTAGCAAAAAGAAAAGAAGTCTATTTTCTAAAAGGTATTATGCATGTGGACGATTCCCCGACCTTGACTGCTGAATAATATAGTAGCATGACGTTTGCGATTGCATTTTGTTTTTTATATCGGATTGTTTTCGTCATCCGCGACAGATTAAAAACACTTTCTTAGACGTTGCAAATCTCATAAATCGCTTGTGCCCGCGGTGCACCTGTTATGTTCTTAAAACAACCGACTTGAAATAAAATAATTTCCTTGGGATTTTATCACAAACTTGGAAATTACTCTAACAATGATATCTGAAAATTAATCGAGTGGCAGCATTGCAACGGCGCGGAGTAAGAGTTGGACAAAAGCTCATATTGGTCTAATTTGCAAGAATATGAATCAAAACAAACTGTAATCTGCAGTTTACAACACGTTTTATGTCCGCGGATTGCCGTGGTATTTTGGGGTAGGGGTGCTTTTATTTTATCAAAGCAATCGCAATTCAATTATTTACAATTAAATAAATAAAGCAACCATTTTGAATATGTATATCGGTAATGGATCTAATATTTTATACAACCTTCACAAAATCCATTACATATCCGTTGAAAAAGTCGGCTCTTCTAACGAGTGGCGTAATCTCAACGACTGACCCTAGGGCCGTATCATGGAATTTCAGGGAGATAAATATATATTTTTGATTTACTAATCAACTTTACATGTATTTTCATTGTACTAAATTAAATATACTTTCTGGGATTTTACACCAGATCTTTCTAACGACGATAACGAATTCGCATGAGCGCAATATAAATCAAAACTAAATATAATCGAGTAATCGATTATTACTGATTGATTGATTATTATCATCATCACATTATTATATCCGCAAATTGGCGTGGTACAGTTTTTTGTCGTCGCCGCCACCGCAAGTTAACCTTGAACCCAAATGAAACAAAATAAAGAGACATTTTGAATTATTGTAGTTGTCATAGATTGAATATTACGAGACAGAAAAATTTCTTTTTAATATGGAAAAGCCGGCATTTTTCACACAATGCGGAGACCGTTTTTAGGAGCCGTTGCATGGAAATTTCCGATTCCATTTTGTGACCTCTCGCGCTCCCAGTTTAAGAATCACTGTAGTCAAATAACAGTCTCCGGTTTTTATTGACATTTTGTATTGGATGCCAAACTGGGTCACATGAAATTCATTACGATGTCATAGTAAAGACTTCGTTATTCGTGGAAATTTGACATGAAGGGATTTTTAAAATTTTGCATAAAGAACAAAATTTCAGTCACAGGCAGCATACGAATGCTAAGCCAAGTACGCAAGTATATTGGACAAGCTCGAGGCTGTAATAAAACCTACACTTCCTATCAAAAAATGCGGATAGGATATTCATTTCTATCTCGCGGGAGAAGAAAGTCAATAAGACGACTTAATCATATGGCAAACCGGGGCATCTTCAGATGCATGGACTTATGGCAAACAAACCTACGACAGCGAGTAGTCCAACAATCCCATCGCACTTCCACTGCTAGAATAATTCATCCAATGATGTCGAATAGGCATCACCTGTTTAGGCTGTGAGGCGAGGCCCTGAAAACGCCTAGAAAGTGGGTTTCGTAGCGCACATCTGAGGACTACATGAATCATTTAGTTTTGTATGAAAATGAACATACTGAACGCATTACAGCTTATTCCCAATAACGAAAATTGCAAATTCTCTGCAAAACATGCTTTAAAAATCTTGATGCAAAAATTAGGGGATATTAGGGGATTTCCCAAAAATCAATAATCATAGGTTGACAACGACACAGCATGAAAAGTTGCTACCATTTTATAGAAGCCATCAAACGCCTCAATTTTATGCGATGAAGTCACAAATTAACACCGTGAGCACAAAACACAAGAAAATCGGGTAAAATCTTGATGCGAGATTGGGGATTGCTCGGAAAATCAATAACCATAGGTTTACAACAACACAGCATAAGAACTAAGCAATTCAAGAGCCCTGCTGCACACTAACACAAATGTATTTATGTAACGTTTCGTTTGACCGTAAATAAATATATACTAATACGTCTGATTCAAATCAGTTTATGTGGTGGTGTATTTGAAACAAAGGCAATATTATTTATGAAAACAGGACTTTCGACACTTACAGATGTCTGAAAAAAAAAACTAATAAATAATATGTATTGAATTAACTTCAAGTGTACTTTTCTCTATAAGTGTACTGTGTGGTTTTTGCAGTCGACACAAAAACAAAATTCTGTGCAATTCAGGTTGTTTGGGCTGACGTGCATAAATTATTTTGACATCTATTTTTGCAACACTTGCGGCTTGCCAATTCAAGAAATGATTTGGGGCTGGAAGTGGATCCATCAATTTAACCCGCAAAACATCATCTTTAACAAGAGAGCTGTGCTTAAATATATGAACACGTCAAAAGGTATCGCTATTTTTTCTTCTGACACATAAAAACGAATCTCTTGAAATCCACAGAAATTTTTGAAATAAGTAAAAGTAATAGCCTTCTGGCAAAAAATTCAATCTTTAACCACTGAAAATTTCAAAGCAATTGGTTCAGTATTCAAAGAGAAAAGCGAAAAGAAGAATAATAACAACAACAACAAAACCCATTCATGGTCAACAGGTGGGGGAATAATTGGCTTTAATTTTAGAGCATGTGTCGGAAACCTTTTTGGTCAAGAAAGCCATAAAAGGTACATACTTTCAACTGAATTTCCGTGCGAGCCATATAGCATTTCTTCACTTAATCAGGCCCGAAATTTTTACTCAAAAGTCAACACACACAATGTCAATATATATATTTAATGTGACTTCTGATGCTGCATGTTGTCGCCGCGTTGAAGTTGAAATCTACGATACTCATCACCCTACTTTCGTTTAGGCATCTCCTTAGTATTTAAAAAACTAGCTTTGCTAGTCCGATTTAAATATGACAAATAGGCTGTAACTACCGTGTTTCACCGAAAATAAGACTGGGTCTTATTTCAATTTTCTTCCGAAAAATAACACTAGGGCTTATATTCGGGGGATGTCTTATATTTTTATTTATCAAAAACTGAATTACAAAGTAGAGAATCACGGAATTTTCAAATATACAGAATATGAATTAGAGGTAAGATCGGACCCCAAAATTCCAGCCCGACCCGAACCGGCCCCGTGGGTATTGAATTCGCAGGCCCGACCGGAACCCGCCTAATTAACTGGATATGCAGGCCCGACCCGACCTGAGCCGGGTATGGTAAAGTATAGGAGGAATATTTTTGAAATTTAAAGGTCGGGGAAAGGTCCATTACAGCGTCTTCTCTGTTTTAGTTAAACTATTTTTTTTTATAACAAGTAGGCTATTCTTTTGTTTAGTATCCACACATAGTTTTTTTTTATAAACATATATTTATTTAAAAAAAGTCAGCGATAGAGAAGCCCGACCCGACCTGAACGTAATGATTGACATTTCAGGCCCGACCCGAACGTAATGATTGGCATTTCAGGCTCGACCCGACCCAGCTCGAACGTAATGATTAATATTTGAGGCCCGACCCGACGGGTCACAAACTATATTCCAAAATCCCTTAATTTTGTCACAATGCCAGTCTGGTAATTCTCTTAGATGACATAGACATGCGCTGGGCGCGCGTTCTCGAACGTATTAGCAAATTTTCTGCCAAATTTGGCTATAAATAGTTTGAAATCTCCTAACAAAAGTAAGCTTAGCTTTAGAATACTATATTTTTCTGGGAGCCATATGCCGTCACAAAAAAAAAACCCATAAATGGCTCGCGAGCCATGGATTCCCGACCTCTCTATCTAGAGTAGACAACAGTGATGAATTCCTGCCTGGTAATTTGCCCTCAGAACATGTTTCTTAGTGAATCATTGTTGAGAGGAAGAGTATAATCCACATGTTTTCCAGTTTTAAAAAAGACGTGTTCTTGGTATCATTTACATTCTTACCATCTTATATTGGAACATATCAAAATTATTTCCAAGTAGTCCCCTTATGTGCGCTACGAAACTGAAAGATGAACGGCCTCGTCTCGCGGCCTAGTTTGTACCAAAGTGAACTTTGGTTTGTACAATCTAGATAGCGAATACCTCACAGATTACTACCAGGCTACTACTATCAACCAAATGAGCATGCTCATTGTATCACGACACATAAATTAATCGTGAAGTATCGAAGGAAATTTCTGGGGTCAAGGGTTGCGTAGCCATCAATTCTAGTAATCAGTGAATATTTTAGTTTATGAGCATGAGTTTATCTCCACTAGACTAGAATCTAGATTATAGTACTGGTACATAGGATAACCTAAGAAGTGTTAACCCTTTCCGTGCGGTGGGCACGTATACGTACCCACGACAAAACTCGCTAGATTGCGGCGGGTACGTTGATGTACTCCACTGTTTTATTTAGCAATCGGTCGCAAACTGTTGGTCTAGTTTTTCCGGGTTTTAGTTTATTGATAAAAAGTCTTCTTCGAGATTAACATAAGCGACGATAAATCTCGCTTTCGTTTACCATGGGAGTTTTATTTGCGGAGGAACGATGGAGTGTTTTTGAAATTTATGCAAATTTCGGTGATTTTTGGGTAGTGATAGAAGACAAATTATCCCTTCCATCTACCAAAGTATTTTGAGTTAGATAACGAAATTGCTACAGCAATATTATGCATTGTTTGCCAACCAAGAAGCGGTAACAGTAAAGGATTTAGCAAATATTTCTATTTTTTATCACGGTTTGAAGTTTCAACACCCAAGAAAAAAAAATGCCTTTTTTCTATCCGGTTTGTGACTCAGACCACCCCTTTTAAAAAAAAAATTTTTTTTAATCGCCAATTGCAAGCTCTTTAAATAAGCTTTCCAACAAGCCGTCAGTGGGCAGCAGAGGATCATTACTTTTTCGTTAGTCGATCGATTAGTTGTGGGGGTACAAATGCATAAAGTCGGCGTAGCAAATACGATTATTTAATAAAAAATAAAAATCGCATGGAAAGGGTTAATACTGTAATAATGAGATGATATCCGGATATAGCCTAAATCCTGAAATCTGCAAATGTAAAAGATCATGTTTCAGCTGGCCTACCTCGTTTGTCTGCACTACAGCACTGTCTATACCTGTATCTAGACCCTGTGCCCTGTGTTTGTGATACTTTTACTTTAGCACAATCACAAGCATATAAACATACCGGTAACAGCATACCGTAATGAAACAGATTTCTGGATTTGCAAACTCCTGAGCTAGGCAATAATTGTTACAAAGTTACTTGTGTACTTCGTCGTCCCTTCACTTCACGCTACGGTCCTGTCTGTCTTACCAGAATGCACTGCAAGTAATTTACCATATTTTGTGTATATTTATTGCAGGCTTCATATAAATTGTCACCTGCTTTTAAATGTTGCAGATTAATCAGCAAAAATGAAGTATCTCATTCCTGCAAATCATGTGAAGTGTTTTGCGAGATCAATACACTGTTTATCTCGTCTTGGGAGTGAGATTTACTTCGACTGCACAGAGACAGATGTCCAGCTTAAAACGTTAAATGCTTCAAGGTCAACATTTGCATCTTTTGTCTTTCCGAGTGTATTTTTTGAAGAATTTGAACCAGTTATAGAAGACGAAGAAGAAAATCAGTTTCTTCGCTGCAAAATATCAGTTAAAACATTTCTGCAAGTGTTTCGTTCAATAGCGTTTATTGAACGCTCTGTTGAAACTTGTGAGATAAAATTATCTGATAATTTAAGTCAGTTAATATTTACTTTGAACTGTAAGCATGCAGTTGTCAAAACTTATCAGCTAAATTTTGAAGAATGTGAAAGCTTAAAAGCTGTTTATACAAAGGATTTGTCTCCTAATAAACTCACTGCGTCTTCTAAGTTATTACAAGATGTTTTTGCTAATTTTCCTACCTCGTTAGATGAAATTACGTTATCTGTAACACCATGTAAAGTTTCATTGTCAAGCTTTGCAGATGAGGACGAGGTTGGAAAAATAATGTCAACGGAAATGAACTTAAGTCCTAAAGAATTCAGTTATTTTCAAATCGGTATCGATTCATGCGTATCATTCTGTCTAAAAGATATTCGCTCTATCTTGACATTTGCGGAATCCTGTGGTTCAGAATGTAAAATGAACTTTGAATATGGAGGAAAACCATTTGTTTTGGAATTATCACAAGAGGAAATTTTTACAGCAAATTTTGTTTTAGCAACGATATCTGGTGATTTAGAAAGCCAGCAGCCATCGACTTCAGTTCTAACGGAAACAACGAATAATAATCACTGGAGTGAGCGAACACATGCAAATGAAAGTAGAATACAACCAACTAAAACTGTGTCTAAGAAAGCTTCTAAAATCAGCGCACATGGAAGGGTCAATAATCACGAAGAAGTTGAACATGAAATCACTAATAACATATCCAATCATCAACAATCATTTTTGCTTGGAAAAGATGACACAATAGTTCATGTTAATGCCATATTTTTCTCAGGTTCAGGGAAGAACCAAGTTACTGCCGTGGATAATACAGTTTTAGCAGCGGATTCTGATGACGAATCCTGATGTTGTTTTTTGTTGGGACGCTTTCCTTACAATATAAATTGTTTATTGGAACATACTGTACATTACAGGGTGGCCCACCCCCCAAAAAAAACCATGGTCATTTGGCACAATTCTAGAGATAACATAATTTTAGCACAAAGTGTCCTAGAATATACATACACAAAGAGAAGTTCAAGTGTTGAATAAACTTTCTTCATTTTTGTAGAAGTGAAAAAATGTTCTTTTGGATCACCCTGTAAAGTGGTCTAATCGAGCCTAAATATGTGTAATGTAAATTGTAGTTCCCACATCTAGCTATGAACAAATCTTTACATATCAATTTATCGTTATGGCAATTCTTTTTTTGTTAGATTGTTTCTAATTGATTTTCACAGGCTTGAATATTGTTTTTCTGTAATATGAATAATCTAAACCTATATTATAGTCTCTTAAATTGATTGATTTCATCCCAAATCTGGTTCGTTTCCCAAGGGTTATTAGGCTAGTGAAAATTCATCAAATTGTTCGCCAGAAACTCCTGTAAAGTGGACATCTAAAATTGTCATCCAATTCAGTTTCATTACTGAGTACTAAGCTACATCTCAGAGCCCTCTTCCTGGAAATATGAATATGTTTGTATTTTTATACCTGTTTATTGCTCAGCCAGTTGGCTGCTTTGTTTCTTTCTTTTTTCACGTGCTATTTTATTGTTCATTTCTACACACTGCGCCATTTTATTACATATTTTATACGAAAAAATATCAAAATGTTGTTGTTCAGTTTACTTTAGCTTCCAGTGGAAAATGAATCCATGATATGCATATACAGGCACATCACAGGATAGCATTAGTGACAATCTGATGACTGTAAAGCAACCTGCCTTTCTGTCTGGCCTGTACTGTGTAGTCAGGCTTTTCAAGGTTCAAATTTTGAATGGCTCGAGTTTTCTCGGAGCTTCACAACACTATAAGTTAATATGATTACAACAAAGTTCTTTGTGATATTTCCAGCTTTTCTGGGGTGCGGGTGTAGTAAATAAACCAAAGATGTGAAGTTGGGGGTGTTTCAAACCCAGGTATGAAACCCACTCCACTCTCCTGACAATAGGCTTGACTTCCACATTGGCTTCAGACTAGGTATAAGATCGGGCCCAAAAATTCCAGCCTGACCCGGGCCCGTGGGTATTAGACCAGACTAATTAGATGGATTTGCAGGCCCGAAATTTCATATTTTGTTCAAGAAGAATATAATCAGAGGTCGGGGAAAGGTCCATTACAGCTTTTCTGTTTATTCAAATTATTTCTTTCATAACAAGTATTTTCTGGTTTAGTATCCACAGACCACACATGGTTTTAGTATTTATTAAAAAAAAAAAAGTCAGCGATAGAGAAGCTCAACCCGAATGTAATGATTTACATCTCAGTCCCAACCTGACCCGAATTGTCAGGCTCAGGCTTCAGATCTTAGCTCTACATCAAACTACAGAAAACCAAATTAGGAAGACTCAACTTTGGCACACGTAAGCCATAAAATTGTCTGGCTACCATTTAAGTACGGTAAATACGTCATACAGCTATAAGGCATGAAACAACTTGAATCTGCTTTAATTAACACACATATTCAGGGTAAAGTTGGTTTTATTCATTTTTTGCTACACTACCGCACTTAACGACAACTATTATTATTATATAGTGAGAATGCATAAGAATATTGTCAAAATAAAAATATCCGGGATATTGTTGGTTAGGACAACCCTTGAAACAGTTACTGTACACATTTTTGATTGAAAGCTGGATCATTTCTGGATCAGGTAAGAAAGCTAGATGGGATCCGAATTTAGCACTATCTATCAGGTAATAGAAAAATATTATTTGAAGCCCTTCGAAGCTCCTTTCACATGCACCTGGCGCTGTGTTGTTTATTCTTTGCTAGAAAATAATTTTATGGGCACAAAATCAGTTCTTGGAAGAAATTGAATTGTTTTCTACCCTATGGCTATTGATGTTTGAATCGAAATATGAAGTTGAACAGCAAGTTTTTGTTCCATTTGAAAGCATTCTTACAACCAAGCAATATGCCCTGGAACGATCAACCAACCCAAAATAATAATCATAAAAAGAAGTGAATTCAACATAACGACACGTTTAAATTTCTGGATAAGTGAAATCCTAGAAGGCAAAGCAAATAGAAGGTGTAAAGTAAAAGCGACAATGCAAAAAGCAGATCTATCATACATGAAAAATTAAATAACGCAGATGCAATATTGAAAAGTCACAACTGTATAACATATGAAAAAAAATAGTTGCCTTTACTATGCCAGTCATATACCACACATTTTTGTCTGTAATATATCGTCAGTTTGAATTTTATATTTTACAATTTACCCAGGAGAGAAACTAACGTTCTACAAAAAGGAGGGTGTTGGTGCGTCACACAACATATTAGAGATTCTGACTGGGCCAGCCGATATACCAAAAGTACTTTTCATTCATAATATTTCTTGTAGGAGCAAAAAAATAATTCTTTAATTTCTGGGCGTCGAATGTCTCAGAATCACATTTAAAATATTCTTCGTTATAATTTAATTCATAAAAATCTATGTGTCACTTATAAATTATTTGGAAATAATAATACATAGCATCCAACATTGGTGAAAAGCAAATGAATAAGTCACCAGCAGTTATTATAATTAGGATCATTTTTATTGTTTGTCTTCAATTACATTGGTAAGATATATAAAAAATCTGTCTCCTTCGTCATTTTTAGATAGGACCTACGCGTTTAACAGTTTGTAAATGACTAGAGCTGATATTAAAAGTATTTCAATTGTACGAATAATTCATTGCAGTCACTCCTTATTCTCAGAAAATAAGGCTTGATAAAATAATAAGAAAGAAATAGCACCAAGTGATAATTTTCACACCTTCTGACAGAGATACAATTACGAAAAAAAAGTTCTCAAAAAAAATTTACAAGGCACGATAACATTAATGAAGTCATGTGTTCGGTTTCAAAGTGATTCGTTATCAGTATTATCATGCATGAATAGGATAGATTTTCATATTTGTTCCAGGGGGAGAGGAAAGCTGATAAGACAGCTCAATCATATGACGGACAACAGACTCTCGTCTGGTTACCAATCCACGCCTGGTATGGGAATAGTTAACCAGTTATTCGTTACTGATGCATGGATCAGATAACGACTTATGTGGTAAAATCTAACACAAACTTGAATTCTGTAATTTTGGCCCACATTATTCCTCTTCGTAATAAAAATCACAGATCTAGCATCAATATTTTAACAAGTGATGTTTGGGTAGCGAGAGTGAGATCAGGGACGCCAAAACTAAATATTCAACTATTTAACATACATTCTGAAATAATGTCTTCAAATATGAATACCGAATATGTTCTAAACTGGTAGTGTATAGTCAATGAGTTGAAATTTGGAAAAATGTTAGACATCAGAAATAAAAAGGGACCATTTCAGGCCTCTGCGTGAGACTTGGATCGCTCAAAAATGAAACTATTCTAAATTATTCCTGAATCAAGAAGTTGAAATAATGAAAGTAATTAATTCAAAAATTATTTGAATATTAAATCGATATTAGACGAAGACTGTGCGAAGCGATTAACTTAGTTACGAATTTCAAATTTTATAATAGGTGTCCAAATGAATTTATGAGGTGAAACTACCGTATAACAACTATAGGCTTCAATGAAGAAAAACAAGCAAAGTACATCATCTTCAATCCAAGTAAAATCACTTGATAATAAGCTTAAATACAATACAGCTGAAAAATTGAAAAATTTTATTAACCATTAGCAGATTAGGAAAACGCTAATTGCTATAGGAGCCAACAATTCTGATGCCTATGAAAAGTATGACTGCACAACGACAGAGATTCAGGTGTCATCCATTTAAATCATTTAAAAAATAATTAACCTCACATGAAACTTAAGCGACCAGAATGATTTTACATGCCACATTATGAAAAGACGGTATGGTGCATTCCTTATATAGTATATGTAAATACTATGAATGAAAGTGTTTTACTTAAACCACACTTTGAAAGGCCTCGATGACAATGAAAAAAAATTAAAACCTAAAACAATGTGAACAAAGTTCTTAGTCTTAGAAAGTAAGGAACATTGATTGGAGAGTAGTGTGCTTGTTGGCATCAAGTAATTGAAACAAGCACGCTATCAAATCACTGATAATTCTGTTCATAGGCCATGCCAATGGAATACTGTGGTAAATGTGAGAATACAAAAGAATTTGAAATATGTCTCTTTAATTGATATTCTTTCAGGACTTTAGGACAATTTATTCATGCTATCGAAGGAGCAGAGTTTTTGTGAACTACTGATTAAAATATTCTTTCAAAAAATTTTGATTTCGAACAAAACAAATATTTTTTTAAAAAAAAATTGAATTAGCAATATAGCATGATTTATACAGTCCGCACAGACTCCACTGTTCAAATGACCAGAAAATTACATTTTGAAGCAATCCCTTTCATAGATAACAACCAATCTAGGTGCTAATGCCCATAAAGTGCGGATGGAACATGGGGAATGCACATTATCATTGACAATTCTCAATTTTGATTTCCAGACTAAAGACGTTCTATTTGTTCGCCAGCGCTAAGTTTTTTCACAGTCGTCGGTTGAGTGTTTCCCCCAGAAGCATGTCGGACTTTTTCTGTTGTAGATGTTATATTTTTTGGTTTATCGTTGTTTGTAGTATTATCGGTAGTGATCGCACGTCCATTAGCATTCGCGTACGAAGGTTCCGTAATACTCAATGTCGATAAATCAGAATATCCACTGTCGGAACTGTGAGTATCTTTTCTCAAGTTGGCACTCGCTAGGTCACTGTCATCTGAGATAGCTCTCGCTCGTTGAGTAGTTACCTCGAGTAAATTTTGGTTTGACGATGTCGAGGATGACGTTCCGTCACTTGATATAGACCTGCCTCTGTATTTGTTGTCGATTTGGCCATCCTAAAATGAATTATTTTTATTAATATTTGCTCACAATAAGGCCCTGAGTACTTATTTAGAAATGAAAGAAAAATCACAAAAAAACACTAAAGACACGAGGCATCATTGTATCAAAAACTGAATATTAGGCTTTATAATTTAAAATTGCTTCTGAACAAAACCTATAACCTAAATTAATGTTGGTAAACTGTAGTGAGAGAAAAAAATTCAGAATATTCTTAAATTCATTCAAGCTGGGGGCAACCAACTAGAAAAACAGAGAATTACATTGATGACTTCAAATTGATATTCAAATATACTAGATCAGTGTATAATCCTATTTTATTCAATATAGCAAATGTCAGAAAATCTCTGCCCTCTATCACCAAGATGATTAGCTATGTGCAATTTCCACCTACAAAGCTGTTTGCCTGATGATTTTGAATGCTAGTTTCAAGTACTTGAGTCCAACTGGCAATCTGTACCAAAATGAATGTATATGAAACTTTTTGCAATAGTAGATTACAATGCTTAATTTTGGACTCAGTTTAGCAGAAAGTGCAACATTCAGCAGATTACTTACTTTAGTAGGATAAACCATGAATCTTAAAATATCACCGACAGATATAACGCCGATGACATGATCTGAGTCATCAACAATCACAGCTTGTAAAACATCCGATGTCACGACATTGTTCACAACAAACTAAAAATAAAAAATGAGACGTTATGACACTGATACATTTGTAATGTTGCAGAGAAATTTCATACTAAAATAATTTATTCTTAATATCGTGAAAAACTACAAATGGCTAGCACCTCCAAAGATCTTTTTTATATGGCATTATTTGCATATATTCATACCGTTCTCTTCGAAAAAAGACCTGTACAAGCAGTCACTGATATCCAATGTTATGTAAGAAGCTACTGTTATTTACAGGACCAAAGTCTTTTGAGTTAGTTATTGGATTCCCAATTTATGACACCCTGGTGAACCCTCAATTTTTATTAACCCCATCATATTTAAGTCTCTAACTTTAATTTAATTAAAAATATAAGCTGTGTCCCGGTAGTATCTGAAACGGCTTGAAAGAAGTGAAAATTGGAAAAGTTTTGGTTGAAAGTAGATGCTTTGAACAGTGAGCTCAATATACGATAGACTTGCTTTAAGCCAATGGTGTGCAACAGACGGTCGACGAGCCACACCCTGACCCTACAAGCGTTTAGTGTGACAACCCTTTTTCCTAATGAAGCATAGATCGTTATCAGACAGATTATGTTTAAAAATACGCTCACATGAGTAAAATACATAACATTATTTTTTCGCTCTTGGCTAAGCGATACACACATTTTTTTCAAAGCTGATGTCAACAAGCAATTTTAGAACTTAAAATTTCAATTGAATGAAATTTTTCATTGTGTGAATTTTTTAATTCATTACCCATAACCCCTATACCCATTTTAGTATGAATGTAAAGAGTTGATAAAGATGGAAAAATATATATTTTTTATTCCCAGTCGTCAAAATACAAACTTTCCCAATTCCAACACAGTCATATATTATCGGTATGTCTTTTTAACCTTTGCAGTAACAAACAATACTAATTCATACTTGACTATTGACTTAACTTATAAATAACTAATCGGAATATTGTTATAATATTTTCACCTCCAAAGTGTCGTCTCTTGAAACTGTGACCAGATGACTGCTTATTGAAGTTGATTTTGATAAATTGCTTGATAGATGTCGTCTTCGATGCAAAAATACTTGCGTATTAGGTGGTGATAAAACGACTGGTTCTCCTTTACCAAAGCTTTGTTCTTTTGCATTTTGTCCTATGGAAACATGGATAAAAATTTAAAAAGAGGGTCCACACATGCACAAAATGTCATTTGACATGAATGGTGCCACCTATATGCCCGAATCAAATTGACGGGTTTTAATGCATCACAGTGTTTTAAATTTTTATGATAGCTTGTAACAATGCAATACAGCTCACAACACATTGCCAAAAAATTGGCCTCATCAAAAGTTTACAACACACACATATTCGATCAAACAAGACCAAGCCTGTTTTCGTTCATAGAAACGATTATAACATGTCTGAAATACTTTAAACGACATCAAATACTCCGAACAAGGCTCTGTACAAACAGCCATTTTTTAGAGTGACTCGAATATTTCCTGTTCTGCATTGCCTACCCAATTTAGGGTGAGGTATATCGACTGAAGAAAGAATCACCATTCGAAATTACCAACCTGGTGTCTTAATAATAGGTTGTTGATGGTGTTTTATTTCTCTCGATTTTCGGTTTTCAGAATGTCCTGACGATGTGCGATTCGTTTGAAGTGATGATCCCACTAGTGGCGAAGGCATCATTCTCGGAGTGTTGTTAGAGTTGTAAAGAAACGGGTGATTTGAATTGACTGGTGTACTGCTATTGTGTGGATGATTTTGTCTCGGTTGATTTCTCCTTCTGACCAAAGCAGGAGATCCAGGCATTGTCCTGTGTAATGGAAAATTGTTTTGTCAAAATCTATACACAAATCTCTTATTATACGCTCCAAAATCCAGTTTCAATTCTTCTCAAAACAAAGTAGACAAATGGAAGGCAGGAGAGTCTCAGATAAATTTGAAAAAGTACCAGGCTAATAGCATATCAGGAGAAAGGGTTGTGGAGCCAAAGCTGAAGTCGTGAAGTTTTGTTGGCACTCGCTCGAGCCAGTGCCAAGCTTAACCTATAAGATGGAGTTGAAACCAGGGAAATTTTGGTGGCTCCAGCTTTTCAGCTTTTTTCAAATATTCAGTTTATAACTTACTTGAAAGCTGAATTTGTATACTTAAAAGTTAAACCATCAATTTTAAAATTTTGAAATTCTTTTCTCAAAGGTTTTGAGTTACACTGCCGTGAAACTACATTTAGACTAGAGTTTCAAAAAACGTTGAAAGCTTTAGCGTACCCGGGAATTTTCAAAGGGAGGGTTTTAAAATTTCTAATTTCCAAGCTAAACTGTGACAGCCAGTGGGTACGCCGGAAGCCAGCAAATGTGGGTTATTAGGAGTCTTAAGGGTTTAAAAAGCGTGTCGAGCTACGAATATATAGAATAGATGCAAAATAAATTATCTATGAAATATGCTAAACTCCATATACATATTTTGTGAAAAACATGATTATACAAAAAATGACAAATCATTTCTTGTTATTGAAGGAGTCTTATTCTAAATTCATTTACATAATTATTTTTCCTACAACATTCTTTAAAATGAATTTTATGAATTTTCGTAACAGAACTACGGTATATAAAAAATACAATCACTTTAAAAAGACAGTTAAAACAATCAGATTCTTAAACGAACCTGACGACAGTAGGTTCCGATTCATCGGGTTCGACAGCAGCATGAAACGAGATTACAGTTTTAACTTTGATGGAAAGATCGTAAAAAAGTTGTTCGCCTGCTAGCACCAATACATCAGTTTTTGTAAACATATCCGTCACACGACCTGTCAGAAACACATTTGAGATTATAAGAATTGAAAGTTTAAAAAATTTTTCAATTATGAAATTAATGACTATATTCTATTATACGGAAACCAGAACCGTGATGTTTCGTTGGAAGCTTGAGGCAATATTGCATGAAGCCAGAAGTACCAAAAATTTTGGTGACTAAATATTTTTCCATGTTTGCAATTTTCTGATACGTCATGTAAATAATAAAATTTTCATGTAGATAATAAATCGTTTATCAGTTTATAATTGTACTTTTCATATCCAATTAGGATAGGATATGAGTTTGATATTTATCCCGGTGGGAGAGGAAAGTTGGTAAGGCAGCTTGATCTTATGGCGAATCAAGGCCGCTCGTCTAGTTATGTCAGGTATGGTAATTAGTAAACCAGTTATTTGCTTCGAATGCATAGAATTTCCGATACGTATTTAAGTATATAAGTTAAGTATATAAGTTTATAAGTACAATATGTTTGAAATTTTGATTTTAAAACACATATGGGCTATTCCAAGTGACACTTCCAGCCACATGTTTCGTTTCATTGTCCAATTAGTTGCTTTATTGAATATGTAAAAAATTGCACAAAAGTTACACCCAACCTTACTTAGTGGATAAAAAAAAAATATAGTAAAATATAGCGTGACACTAGAGGACGGCAAATCCACCATGCACTAACAGTACGTTGTGTTGTGCTGTAAATTTTTGCGATGGTACAGTAGGAGCCCATAATATTTTCTGGTGCAGTAGCTGAACTACCCCTCTATGTGTTGCTCAAGTTACTTAATGTAACACTGTAAATCCATGCCAATAATGTGCATATTGTATGTGACACTACAGGACTTCCACTTCGGAATAGCGGCATCTATCATCTCTTAAAATTCTGGTAATAAATCGTTATAAATGGGTGAAGAAATGTTCTACAGCACTGCAAACATTTAAACTTTATTAACTTAAATCCAGTGCTTCAATTCCATATGAAATAACTGTACCACACAATCAAACCCATTGTGCCAGGAATCATCACAAAATATGTCAATTATACCAAAATTTCTACATTTCAGGCCATTCTTTAAAAACCATCAAAAACCTGGGTGAAATTTTAAATTGTTCGATGAAATGAATGCAGTCCAATAAAATTCCAATGTCTTTTGATATCAAGAATAAAAAAAAATTACTTTCACTACACTTTTTAAAAAATTGATGGAATTCAACTTTTGCTTGGATACTTATGGAATATCATGATTTTATCAGCATTTATACGAGTGCTTCATGGTGGTGGTCAGCTCCGATGTAAAAAAATGAAGAGTCAGATCTGAAGCTATTGTGATTTAAAACCAGCTCCCAGGCTCTGATCATAAGTTAATGAAATCATCTCTCTAAAATAGCTATTTCGATGAAGACGAAATAGCTTAAACTGGTTAGTAGAAACATTCAGTACATCTTCATTACAAACCTTTGGCATCAACAACTGGTAGGGCAGAAATTTTATGTTGATCGAGTAATTTCAACGCATCAATAACTGGACTGTTTTCATCAATCGTAGCAACGTCTTTTCGAGTACCAAGACTAAGTTCTTCCACCGTCTGAAAAACAAATTTTCAAATACTTGAATATCTGATAACAAATCAGGATTTTGTTTAACAAGATAGCAATCATCAAATATGCAGACTTGACAGTCCTGTATTGGTTCCAGTATTGCCTCATTGAGCACAGAGTTTGCTGGAGAGATCAGTGGACAAGCATGACGGAATGTTGTAATATGCAAAACAAGCCAGATTTGGGATGAATATCTGGCCACTGAGAGATCTTTAATTAAGTTCTTATCGCAGATGGTAAGCGTTCGTTTCGTTTGGTAAGTTTCCCCGAGCAGGGCAGAAGGCACAGTTTGAGATACACTTCTTTCATGACATGAAAATCAAATCAAACCCAACAGAAAACATGAAAATGAGAAACCGATCCACCCACCTTGCTCATGTACTTTGGTTTTGGCAGTTCGTTCATAAATAAATGAAGGAAATGAAGAATACGTCGATGGTTAATAACATGGAAAACATCTCCATTATCTGGATGTACAATAGCTAACCTGAAAATTACAATTTTATAAATTCATAACAAGAAACTATGAATGAAAAGGTTATTGCGTAATAATTTTTATCAAGTCATCTAAAAGAATGTAACTGTGAGACAGTAGAGAGATTTCTTTCAACCGATGTAATTAAAATTTATAGAATCTGAACTGAATCAGGGCATTCTCCCCAATCTAGTATTTAAATGTCTGATGGTTATTTATTTTATAAAAGATATGGGAGGGTGAGTTACTTGAGTTTCAAAGAGTGATGGTTATTTATTTTATGAATATGTGAGAGAGTGAGTTACTACAGTTTGATTGAGTGAGTGTGATGGTACTTTGAATAAACTCTACCTCTCCTCAACAAAAAAATATCTGCCTTTGAATTTAAATTAGTTGGCAATGCAGAACCAGGATTATGATATTTCCATGTAACCAGTAAAAACCAATGCATGATAAAAAATATAACGCCAAACTCTTTCAATTATACTCCAGTTTTTAATCACTCACTAAAGTGTAATAAATTAGGTATGCAACGCCGAACTGGAAACACTACTATTTTAATGATTCAGATTCGAATACTAAATGCATGCTGTTTACTATACCTCCGTATGTTCTCTTCAGTGAGACGTTTGAGTGAGTGAAAGAGAGAGGATTGAGGAGGTACATGGATCAATGTTTGTTTAGAATTGAGCACTTTTCTCCAACAAGAAATCTTTTGGTTTTCTAAATCTTCCAACTTTTTGTTTGGACACCTTTCAGAAAAAAAGAAGATGTAGTCAATTAATTAAATAAAATTAAGATAAAATCATTCATTATATCAGTCATAAAGTAATTCAAGGCAGAGTATCTATTGTGAATTTGTATTTCCTTATGTAATGGAATTAATGTTATACATTATAAATTTGAATTCTCAATTATATATTCTGATATCAAAAATGGCTTTAATAAACTATTCAAATTTACGCATAGTGAGCGGAAATAGGAGTTATTGGACAAAAGGTTGGGAGCCACTGCTTTAGTAATTAGCATTTTCATGTAAGTTAAGGTGATTTGAATGGCAAGCAATTAATTGGTATACTGATTTTGTTTGATACAGAATGGACCTATGAATCGTTTTTCCAAACTCATGTTGTTGCCTATGGGGCGAAAATATTTGCTTTACTCCTTTACAATTATACCGATTGTTTTCAAATTTCAGTGGATCGAAATCACAGCCTATACTAGAAAGTACTTAATACAATTGTAAACATGTCGTAAATTTCACAAACAATTTTCTATTGTATTTCAAAATTTAAACTTTATAGCTAACGTCATAACAACATCAAAAGCTGTTGTTTAATTATGATTGTTTATTTTATGCCGGCGTTAAAACGCTCCAGGCAGTAAAATTAGATATGTATTACACGAGTTCTTTATACGGTAGTATATAGATTATTTTATTAAAAGTAGCCATATAAGAATACGGGATGGCGAAATATTGAATCTCAAATTTCAATTTTAAAATGTTGTTTTGCGGATTTGACAGATTTAAACAACCTTATTGATAAATAATGACAACAATTAATTAACTTTTATTTAACTACTTATAATTAAGTATTAAATAACATCATTTAATCATTATATTTAGTAGTGAAACCTATTTGAAAAGGTCAATTTCCATAGTATATCCAGCTGATTACGTTATGTTCAAACATCATTGACATAAATGACAGATAAAAAACAAAATAGCTTGCCAAAAATCATTGTTTTTAGTTACCCGTAATAAAAAAAGAGAAATAATTAAGTATTCCTACTTGTCATAAGCAAGGAGAATACTGACGAAATCTGAAACAGTTAACAAGCCAACATAATCATGTAGATCGTTGTCCCAGAGTGGAGCGCAACGAAGAGAATTCTCGATAAGTGCGTGGAAAGCTTTCTTCACTTCTAAACGAGTGTCGAGTACGACCAACTTTGAACTTGTAGGCATCAAGTCATAACATGTGTGTTCTATAAAAAAAATTATGAATCTTCAACAAAAACAAAAAAAGGATTCGCAACCATTAGTGTGAGGAGCCATGTGTTGAGGAGGTTCTGGTCATTTACTCAACTCGAGTTGGACTCTGATCACCACACATTGAAGTGACCTGTGTAATCTGAATGAAATGACCTGAACTCATGTTTGTAAACTTGGAACAATTCATAATTTTACCAAATACCATTATTATTGTGATCCTATTAATTTTTTTGTAGGAAGGTCACATGCACTCACTCAGAAGTTAATTAAGACTCATCTCTGAACGATGTCATGGATAACCACTGAAATATTATAAGCTGAGTGCTTCGTATCTTACATTTTGTATTCCAACAAAAAGTTTTTCATACTCAAATTACATTTTTCAACTTCAAATGAAAATAAATAATTGAAAGCAATTTTAAAGCATTGCTTAAAGAATCCTCCATTGTTATTATACATCTTCATACAACTAAATGTATATGCATCGAAAATGCAAATGCTATTACCTTCTAAAAATCTTTGATAAATCAAATAATCTTCTGGGTTTTCATTTACTTGAGGAAGAGAGTGAGAAGGTGACGAGTATTTTACAACACCTACTCGGCGCTCTGCTCGACGTCTAGTTTCATGTTCTTGATGCAGTGATGCGGCGTTGTTGTTAGACAATATCTCAGGACTGCATACTCTAAAACTGAAATGAAAATGAACTGCTATCAAAATCATAGAATGGGATTTTGGGAAGGAGAAGCAAATTCGTCCAGTTACCAGTTCAGGTTTGGTATGGGGATGGATAATTTAAAAGTTGTTCCGATACGCAAGGTGCAACTATTTTACAAAATGATCGGAATCTTCCCGGCTTGGCACTCGGCATTTTGTTACATCCTGGGTAAGGTGATGGGCGTGGGACCCAATCATGTAATGTGTGATGCCAATACATTCAGTCAACGTTTTGAAACAGTGGTTCTTAAAGTTGATTGACCGGGTGCCAAAATTAGAAGCGAAAGGAGAGTAGAAAGTGAAGCGCTCGCAAGAGGCCGGTACTGTTACTTATGATTAAAACACTGGTATAATTGAATTGTTTTGATACACATGCTTAGACTGTGATAATGAGGTGACAATTGGCAGTATTTAGAACATAAATAGAAAAATAATGGAGTGTTGAACTATTTCACCTAATTAAGAGCCATATTAAATCGTTACGGGACAATTATGGCCCGCGGGCGAAGATTTGGGAACCACTGCTTTAAACTATGCCATCGTAGCGAATATATTAGTTATCAGACAAATGTAGTCTATATATATATACACCGGTATGAATTTCTAAATGGAACAATAAACGATTGCTTTGTGTTATTCCGGTTCAATAGGATAGTATTTCATCCTGAGACGAGACACTTTGTTACAACATAATTACATTTCGATAAAGCAAAGTTCATTTATCTCTGTTGCCAAATATGAAAGCTTCAGTCATTATGTCCTGACCCTTTTTGTATCTTCGTCTATTCTATGAAAATGAACAGATACTATCAAATTATCTGGCAACATACCCTTGCGATATCTTCGGTGTTGCACAGTTTAGTTGTCTTCCTTCCTCTACTTTTTCTAATGAAGTAATACTTGCAGCAGATGTATTTCTGTCATCTGAGAGATATAAATTAAACATCGTTAAAAGTTCTAGCTAATCATACTTTCATAAAATACATTTCACGAAGCGAGAAATGTCTGAGTCGACCTTCAAATTCATCTAACTCTGTGGTCTAGGGATATCGGATATATACTTTCAAAAATGAGTATTTGGTATTTTTGTAGGCCAATTTTTACTTTATAATCAGTGATCACAGCTGGCAATAAAAAATAGTGGCAACATCTTTTCTACCTAGCCCAATTTTTATCATTTTTGCATAGTTATAATCAAAATATGAATAAATTAAACATTTTAAGTTATCCTCACCGTCTTCATGTGATTTTTGCCGCTTCAATGACCCCTTCTGACCCAGTTTCATTTTTAATTTTCTTAAGGCTGACATTCTACTATTTTGTAATGAGGTATTGTTTGCATGTTTATCAGATTCAGACCATGCTCTTGGCCGCAAATCCAACTGTTGAAATCGAGAGAGTCCTGCAAAACAAATTGTAAAACTAAATAATAAACAATGCTCAACACTAGTAATACAAAATCTTGGCGTCAGCAATTGTTCATAGTTATTGGTAGCAATGATTAGGCAACTCAAGAAACATCGTATATAAATGATATGCTCCAGAGTTTCTCAAACTGGAACTCTAGGGCAGGGCTACCCAACTGGCTGACCGCTGTCCGAATCTGGACCTTTTGAGTATTATATTTGGACCGCAGCTGCTTGTTGAATTTGAAAGCATCGTTTCTTTTTATTTCACAATCACGGTAAAATGCATTTTTCGCTAAACCACTGTGGAAAAATTGTCATAACAATATATGTTTCACGAAGCATCAACTATTTGTGTACGCCGCTAGTATTGGCTAATCAGCAAGATGAGATTTTAGCAGCCACATACAATTTCCACAGATTTTTAGACATAGTGTTAAACATTAGCTTGTTTTTGTGGCTTTGCACTTCAAAATTCAAAAAAAAAATCAAATAACCCCAAATGTTTAAATTTTCTGTCCGGACCTTCGTTGAAAATAGGGGTTCACTGTGTATCATATGTGTTGAGTACATTTCAATTTAAAGGTAATTGTCAGGCAATTGTTTACGGTAATTCCTTGATTGTAATGCATATTGATTTAGGTACCACTGCTCTAATACCAACCATAGAAAGTCACACAACGAGATTATATTTCTACACATGAATGTTCTCTTATCATATATACTGTTTATGTGAAATCTTGATAACAGGTATAAGACATTGCACAATGTTATTTATTGACTGATCCATGACCAAATCACTTATTTCAACAAGTCTATTCAACCCCCTGACAATGGCAAATAACAAAAACACAGAAGGTGACGTACACATGCAATTTTACACGGTAACCATTGAAAACAAGTGTCATTCATTAATAATAGAGTATGTTGTTCACTTCCTCCTGCCAAGTACTAATTTAATTACAAAAGACTTTCAAAGACTTCATAAACGGATGTCAGTTATTTAACATAGAAAAGCATGATTATGCAGCCAAAGCAAAAATGGATTCATAACAAAACTATATACTGGTATTATACCATAAACTAAATGAAGTAAATTATAAAATCTAATGATCTTGAGTATGATAAGAAATTTGCTAATTTTAGGTTGAAACAGATCATTTGGTTAAATTATTAGAAAATTCAAAGTGTTAAATATTGTCTGTTTGACTATTGTCTGTTTTGATAATCCTTGTTCTGACCCGAGTACATGTGGTTAACACACAGTTTATTTAGTTTGAAATATTTAGCGGGTCAAAACTTTATATTCTACTGAATATTTTATGATTGTGAAATCTTGACAATGACAAAAAGAAAAAAATTTTTTAATGTAAAATAAAAAATATCATAAATAACATAATATACCATAAATTCAAAAATTAAAACCTTACTTGAGATAATATAATCAGTACATATAAATTTGATAAGATTATTGGATTTGAAAATAAAGAAAATATTTCATGATAAGAGACTTACAAAAATTTACTGGTATCTCAAAAATCCGATTTATTAATAACAAATTATATCTCAACATTGTTATTGAATTGCAGAATGCTGATATTTTAATACATTGCAAAGATACGTTTTGCATGCATCATATCGCATCCTGTCGGCATTCAATATTCAAAACAAAAGTACACGCCTCCAAAACACCCCTATACCGATATCAGCTTGGCACGTGGTATGCTAATATGACGTTTGTTATTCAAAAACACTTTCTGCGCGTCCCTCGGTCGTTAATCAAACAACAGATCTGTAGTTAACTTCGGACCAGAGGTACTCGACTGTAAGTATTCCATGGATCATGTATGGTGATATAATAACGAGAAAAATATAAACAAAGTGCTTTATAAAGTATTCTCAAAAGGCAATTTATTTACTCAATATCGGTAAATGACGTTATATCAACAGTTGTTACGTCTGTGCAACAACCCGTGAAGTTTTATGTTCGATAAAATAAACATGGAAAAAGAAGGAAGTTAAAAACTAAACAAAATAAATAAACGTCATAATAAAGTTGTTAAGTTTATGATTAAAAATGGAAAACAAGGCAAATGACAAAATCATAAAAAAGTAATTGAAAGAGTAACAATAGCCTTATTAAGCTTAGATAATTTTTGTAATTTTGAATATATTCCGAATGGGACCATACAAAAAAGAACATGATAACCATATTTGTGGAGATTGAATATATGGCTATACATTCAATATCTTGTTGACAAAGACAGCTTTTAAAATAGAAAAGTTTTTAAACTATTCTTGAAATTAATACTTCTCAATGAGAAATTTATCTACCGGTATTTTTGAATGTGTTTAGACACCCCAGTCCCCAGTGATACCAATCACAGTTATACACGGTCAAAAAAAATTCAGACTTTCACGTAGCAAGAGAGAGGTCAAAGAACCTCTACAAATAACTTTCAATAGGTCAACACACAAAAATTCTGAAGTGAATACAGCGCACAGTTTTGAAATGAATAAAAGTAATAGCCTTTTAGCCAAAAATATAATGGTTAACCGCTGAAAATTCCAAAGCAATGGATCCAATAGGTAACGAGAGAAGCGATTTTTTTCATACGCTAACAACAAGAAGGACAACATAATAATAAAACAATCCATAATTCAACTCTGTGTGTGTCTAATAATGCATAATATGTAACTTGTTATATATAAAAGCAATGATTGATGATAAAATACAGTTCCATTCCATTTCGATACTATTTAATTTTGAAATTTAGCATAAAAATTGTTATTTATATCTGTTCCAGACATTTTTTAAAAAACAAAATAATTACAATTATGGTGTAGTTTTTCTGTGAAATTTGCCAATTTTCAAACAACGTAATGATTGATATCAAATTTTACTGAGAAGGATGCCGCTAGCTAGCTATTATCGTACTATCAATAAAACTACTTTAAATCTTTGAATAAGAAAAGACAAGAAATGCTGCTTTTCACATCCCTTGGGCATTGTTGCTACCATGGTAATACAATAGCCTAATACTTTTTGATTGGCACCGCTTTCAAACAAGTACAATATTTGTAATGAAACTTGATAATGAAAATTCTTTGAAAAGAAAAAAACTGTAATGTTTATGCAATAATTTCAATAATATGCAATAAGAAAATTCCTTGTTATCATGGAATCCAGTCTAATTCATTTTAACCAGTAGATATGTTACAAAAACAAAACTCCTCTAACTTGGCAATCGTTATGGCGTCCACCAACTCGTAATTCTTACCTGAAGGCTTTCCTTTATTATTAGATTGAGGGAGCAAAGTAGTAGTTTCACTTTTACGATTTTTTTCCTTTTCTCCGTTTGAAAATTCAGCGCTGTGACGAAAATTAACATTTTCGCTCTGTGAATGAGGTGGCGGGGCAGTTGAATGATGGTTCGGTGCATCCGTGCTTCGGGTTCTAAAATAATAATTTTTGACATTTTTGAGAGTTTTCTATTGCGTTTTTTTTTTCATAAATTCAAAGAATGATAGGGCATGATATAAACATTTTGTGAAAAGAAAAATACGCATAGTTTTCATAAAGTCCATTTACTTTTCAATTTGGTGATGAAGTCAGTTATCAATATATCTTAACCAGGTTCGTTTGCTTTTAATCAGTGTTTATTTACGTTTTTTATTTCATTCAGAACCCCCTTTTATGTCAACCATCAGTGGCATCAAGCACATCAAAGATCTTTTACCAAATAAAACTCAGGATTTAATGAACAACCTGTGTTATGATACATTCACAACTCGAGTGATAACCAGAAACTAAAATTTACTGACTAAGTTTGTATTATTTTCACATCTGTTAACAGCAGTTAAATAAGCTGAGTTGAAATCGAGAGTGTGGTAGAATAATCCGATTACGGTTGAAGTTTAAAATCACAAATCTTCAGAAAACACAAAACATACAAATGTTGAAACACTTCGCTTGGACTAAGGTACAAAAACAATACAATATGGTCGTACTACTAAGTATGTACATATCTAAATATTGTGGAATACATTGCTCAAGAAATTCAAAAAAGGAAATAACATAACACCTAGAGACAAGTCTTGTTAATTAGAACAAGAGTGTTTATTAAAATTATGGCCTCTTACGTGTGGAAGGGGTGGGGATACGGAAAAATGAGTTGTATTTTTTAAAAACAAGTGCATATAGACAAAAATTACGATGTTAGTTTTTCAACGTTCCATGTGAGCAACTTCTTCAACTACAGGAGACAACGTGAATCTCATATATTATTGAAAAAAATTATATTTTTCAAATCTGCTGACAAGATATGTGAGAAATATAATTTACATACAACTGCAAATAACAAAAATCAAAATATAAAAAAAATTCATAACATTGCTAATGAAAGGTGGATTTTTGCATGAAAAATTGTCACAGCAGTGATATGTTAAGCTTTTTTTTTTTATAAATGTCATGATGCTTGTAGCCCATTGGTCAGTCAACAGGATTGATGGAAATGTTAGAGCATTGTGTCATTTCCCATGTTTAGTTTGTCCCTGTTTGAACCTCTCTCCTATTTGAGTATCAAAACAAATTTTGAGCTTCAGAAATATTTATCTCCAACCAAATTTGAGCCGACCATAAATTGAGCATTCGAGGTTCATTTGAATGATTGACAAGTTTGACCAAGCAAAAAATTTCAATTCTATGACATAACAAATTATGCAGAATGTATCATTGCAATTTTAACTATCTCAGCATTGTACCATTATGATTCTTCTAAAATCAAACATGATTGTATATAAAACAAAAGTCTATCCCCTGTTTAGCATTGTTCCCATGGATGTTGACCATAAATTCCACAATACAGCATAAACATGTTATAATATAATTAAGTTGCAACTTGGAGCATTTAGTAATTTTATGTTGATTGAAACACATTGCAGAAATACATTACTAAACCACATAATATGAGCAATAGGCCCCCTTGAAGCAAAGTGACAGCATCATAAAATTCAGTGATTTTGTTTTCCATCTGTCATGCCAATAAATACATAGCTAAACCATGTGCGATGTGACAAAAATTAATGCCTATTGGAGAGATGGATTATTTATTACTTTGTTTAACCAGTTCTGTCACAATGTATGACTCACATAGTAATAAGTATGGGATTGAAAACTTAATTAAAATCTTTTAGTATAGGTAGAGTTGTCCAACTCATGTTTACTGATATAAAAACTAATTTTAAAGTTGTTCTTTCTTCAAAAATATTTTGAATATCAAATAGCGTTGATTTTGTTTTGAAAAATAGAGTGTGCTCTGCCGTAGGGTGGTTGACATAACCGTCAACCGATGGTTGGTTACGGCTTTATCCACCATCAAGACCATGCATCTGAAACAAATAACTGGCCAACTAATCATATACACGACATGGACTGGTAACCAATCTTACAAGAGGACATGGTGCGCTATATGATTAAGCAGTCTTATCAGCTTTCCTCTTCCAGAGAAAAAATGCCGTAATATAGTGCGTTTTCATGATAAGCAGTCCCGCTCTTCAAATAACCCTTTCTCACTAGGTAACCTTATACGAACTGTATCAACAATTATTAATGTTTTGTAACATAAGACAGTTCTTTTCTCTCATGTTTCCTATGTTTTTGTAAAAAAAATGACATAGGACTCAATTTCTAAATTGATTTCTATGAGCGTTCTAGCAGAGCAGATTACATCAGAGATAAAAAAAATTATTAATGTCATGGAATGAATCATATCAGTTGATAGGATTTGCTGGGAAAGTGTTTTATTTTTTACATTTGAATACATTGGGTTATTCATGATTTACCCTTTATCGAAAAAACGGAACCTCAACGACAGAACAAGTTTCTTATGTTAGTGCAAAATTGAGAGTACCCAAAACAAGTATACACACCGATTTGAAATCAGTCAAATTTAAAATTCATGTTTTTGATTCAAAATACTCTTAAAAGGATTATTATCATTTGCGGCAACTCAAATCTTACAATATGAAGAGAAAGAAATTTATATAATTTCCAAAAACTCTTAAAATAAAATGGGCAACTAAAATACTATTGTATATCCTAACCCTGTTTACTCATATACTCATATTGAAGTATGAACGGTCTATCACATGTTCTCTGATAAACATGGCCCAATCGAGAATATATTTAAATATTTTATATTCTTATTATTTTAGAATGTATTCAAAATGGTAAATTCTTTGGTTCTGCGCATCACTGAAAGGTTAGTTTGTTAACTTACGGTAACTTTCAAGTGCAAGTCAAAGTCGACCACATTATTGAGCAAAGAGCAAATAACTGTTTGGGGAGTATACAATCCATTCACAACAAGTATTCTTGCATGATAAAGTAGCTCATTGCACAAATGCCTCCTCAGATCAAACGTTACATAAAAAAGGGATCGAACCCTGGATTCATATAATGAAATATACCAGGCTCTGACAGTGGAGTAGTGCAAAGTCTCACTTTTAACATTTTGTGGGTTTCAATACAAAACAGCAAATGTTGAAATTCAAAAAATATATATATTTGAAATTATTACAAAGAAATGGGTGGTATAAAACAGCAAATGTCAAAATTAAAAATAAATTTATATTTGAAATTATTGCAAAGAAATGGGTGGTATGTCAAGCTGGTATTTAATCATAGTTTGAAGTATTTCAATAAATAGGCTAGAGTGGCCAATTGTAAAACAACAAACTTTTTATACCTAATATTGAGTGGAAAATAATTATGCTGGAAAAGCTAGTGACAGAACATGTTATGGAAGACCGAAAACAATTATTATGTTGATGAGACATGAAAGCAGACCTTTGCTTCACAAAGTAAACAAGACAAGAAAAGAGAGAAGAGTGCCAGTGTGACAAATTTACATAGACTCAAATGACCTTCAATAATTTGCTATCGTTATCTCAAGGGAAAAAACAAGTCAGTTCGAACCTTATTAAATTTGGGTGATGCGGACGGTTGTAGCTCCCTCTCGGAGAACTGTAATAGTTGAACATGACTAAGGTACGAGGTGATGTGCCGTAAACGTTCAAAGGCAGATTGCTTGAGCTTCCTGTGTTATTGAATCCGCCATGGTAAGACGATGATAACACAGGAAATCCATCTGTGAAAAATGAATCCCGGTTTTATGACATGAAAAATAAATGCTTTATTGCCACCATATGCCAATATAAAAATACTAATAACTTAAAGATTTGTAATTTTTGCAAAGTGACATAACTTTTTGAGTTGGGCCTTACTAGAACAATAAACCAGTTGCTTCAAAAGTGATAGAGAATAGCATAATGAAGAAACTAGATGACTACTAACAAATATCAGTGCTGAAAATTGAACAACTGAAAAAATTGAAAGTTTTCTGTTTTAGTTTGCTGACAATAAAGGAAGAAGTAGACATGAAACTATGACATTTGGGAAATCTCTACTTGAAACAGCAACAAGCTTGCAATGAGCGTAAAAATAATATCAGTACAATTGTGAACCGCAAAAAACGATCTTTTGAGACTTACATAATTCTTTAAAAATTCCAAACATTTTCTATTTCATTGATTATTGAATATATTCCAAAATTCAACAATGTTCAAAAGAGCAAAGTGCAAATGTGTATATATATAAATTCTAAAATGAACTCTAAGTTCTAAGTTTTAGAAGTTGGAATATCACTTATTATTGATCGGATTTTCTATAAAATAGAGTTAGGTTGAATGATGGCAATGGATCATTTCTAGCACATGGTACATACCTCCTATCGGTGGACTTTCATTGTTTGAATCAGATATTGAATCATCTGAACTATCAAAAAATCCAGATGAAGGATTTCTATGAGGTCTCGCTTTACCAGAACCCTGAAAAACAAATTTTGGAAATAGTCACTCAGTCGGAGTCTGAGATGAAAAGTCAACTCATTTCACTAAAGATCAGGGATCTACAAAAACACTTATCTAAAAATAGGTGCGCTTCATTGATAACGAAATGACACCTTCAAGAAGTGTGCTGATAAATTAGAGTGTTTGCACATACGGCATAGCTAATATCATAAATACTTACAAGAAGATGTACAAACATTATTAAAGAATATATTACATGACTTTGATGGTATGACCAAGTTAATAATTTACTTATTAATGTCGCAATATATGCTATTTTCGCATATAATTTTATTTTTTTTTCAATACAGTTCTTATAGCAATTTTCTTGAATCTGGACAACATAATCAAAAACAGGATTGGCTAAAGAATTCAGATTGAAAAAAGAACAAAATTATATTTCAAAAATAATACCTTTTGAAAATTAAGATTGAAAAAATTAAATTACTAGTTTTTCTTTACAAGCTTTGACACTTTTACTTTACGCCCAATTTATGTGCAAACAAATTTAAGCATAAATAGCCATTTTTAGGCTAAATAACCCATTTACAATATATAAGTTGCAAAACAAACCCACTTAGGTACACTATTTAAAATAATAATCGGGTAGTACAATCAAGTATCGTGAAAAAGACGAGAAAAGAAATGTCATTGTGAGCCTTTATGGTAAAACTAATTACCATTTTATAATTAGCCATCTCAGACATGGATACAATTTTAGTATAATTTTACAATATAATATTTAGACATCAATGTCCTTACCTACTAACAAACATTGACCAAATTAAAAATAAAAAACAATTAATCACCTTGACTGGGATTGGGATTGACCGTTCCCTGTTGAAATTTTTCGAGGACTCTTGAAGTCCATTCTCAGCCTCCATAAACCTGTTATCTCTGTGTTGCAGCATGACAGCTATTCAAGTATGTCCATAGGCTCTGATAGCCTAATAGTAATACAGCATTACAGGAATGGTCCCAATGAGCAGCTAGCTACACTAGGCATATGCCAAATATTTTTACTAGTACTGAAGTAACTCTTAATGCATAAAAATGAAAAGAAATCACATGTACTGTTAAATATACCATGAAATGAAAGACAAACATTTTTTAATTATGAATGAATTATCTTGCAGTTGAAATATTAAAAATACCATTTTAATGAGAAGACATGAATACAGCATTTTAGATTACAAAACTTGAAAATGCCAATTTTTCACACTTCCCAAGTAATAGTAAAATAAAGCAATCCTCATGAACAGAAAATCTATTATACCGATACACAAATGCATAATTGAATTTCATGAAACAGCACTCCAATCATATAAATTGATTTACCGGTAATAATAAATGAGATAATTTTATAATTTTACCTACAAAAAATAAAACTATTAGTACGCATTTGAACAGGAAAACGAAATCACAAATTATTAACCGAATACCTAAACTAAAATCTTTGACAATTTTAAAGTAGAAAACATAGGAAAGGAAATATTGCAATTAGCTTACTAGAGAAGTTACATAGTGTCAAGAATTTTCCAACTGATTTCAAAAACTTTCATTTTTCAAATTCACCAATCAAAATACTCCATTTTCTAAATAAAAAAAAAACGATATTGACAGTAAATTGAAAAAAGCACATCAGAACATCACACTATGAAAAGAAAACCCTGAAAACCAACTACCGGTACATTTAAACCTGTCACGGACATATTAATGAAGAATAGGGATTTATAAATGGACACCAATTCAATGCTTTGAAGTTATTTTAATAACAGTAGACACAAGCCGGATCAAATCTATCAAAATATCACAAGAAATGATAGGCTATGTCTGAAAATGGCAACAGCTATCTAATTTTGTGAAAATCGTGAAACAAAATCTAGATATTTTGAAAAACACAAAATTAACTGGCACTATATTTGAATATTATAATACACAATGTGGCAATTATTTAAAATAAAATATTTCTGGGTCAAAATATTAACATTTACGTAATATACAGCGGCAATCTGCAAACTATTTATCAATTTTTTTTTTTAAAGCGAAAAAAGTTTTATTCTTCCAACTCATGGCTTTTCGTCTCAATAATTATGAAAAGACATAATTTGGAACCCAGACAGTCCTATTTCCGCTCCTACTGGCCTAAATTACAAAGGCAATGAAAATGGTCTTACCATATTATACATGATCAGAAATTTTTAAATGAAGAATATCATTGGTTCAACTATGAACCATACATAAACTAATCATAAATCAGCAAGTAAATTTAAAATTTAACAAATATAATGATTATAATTTCTATATCTATTACCCAGAACTGAAAACACAAATATGAACTCGAAAAATGAACTAAGAAAAAAGAGAGCATCAACACAAAAGCAGTTCATGTTCACAAGCACAAGATATATATCATGCCCCAGTGATACGTGATAGTGTGCGCATTTGGATTGTGTTTCGTTTATCAATATGCTTCTGAAAAACAAATGTTACTGTAGTAAACTGGTTTTATATGGTCATAGCTAAACCACTATGTGATATGATAATCCATACAACATAAATGAATCATAACAGACCTACTTATGTACTCAGACTGAGGGAGAATCAAAATAAAAATTATTTATCTCAGAACTGTGTAATATTAATATTATGGAAAACAAATTGTAGATTACATGGGAAATACATCATATTGAAGTAAACATGAATAATTTTGTCACACTTTATAATGCCCATATCAATTGAAGGTCAAATAGAATTCAATTATCAGATGGTAAAATATACACTACTAGTAATTATTATACAGTCCCAACATGCTCTTCACTAAAATATGATAAATTTGTGGAAATTTTGCAATTTGAATTGCAAACTAATTTTTTTCAGATATATCGATTTTCTACTACAAAGATCATGAGACATTTACAATCCAGGTTATATCACAATTTTAGAAATCAAAATGAAAACTATGGTAAATGCATAAAATTTGATACAGGTTATTAATCTTCCAAAACACAAAATCATTATACAAAAATGGAGAAAATTTTTTGAACTTCTGTTTTTATATGATTGTAGCCAAAATTTTCAGTAATCTAGGACGCTTTGTTCAAAAGTTATGATGACCTTGGTGCTCTATATTACTAAAATTTCGCTATAGACCGTAGCCTATTTGGTCATTATCATTTGGAATCATAAAACCATCAGAATTCACTCACAAAACTCGGCCATATATCATTTTTAATAAATTCTCAAATTGGCAAAAATATTTGGCCAGACAACACACCTCCCGTTGGACAATGGCGTAAAGGCAAACAAACAACAACAGGAATGAGGGTGACTGAATGTCACAGCAAACAACCAATGTAAATATTTGACGAAGCTAACACAAATTCAATAATACTCGCAAAATAATGGGCCATTGTAAAAAATATTTAACATTACATATGCATCATGCCTTGTACAAATCAGAAAAAATATGAAATTTTACGAAAGAATCTTAAGACATATTATTTTAAATTAGCGGAAATATTCCAAATAACCAAAATTGAACTTTCCAATACAGAATATCAGAAATTCAAAATAAGGTTGGTAATACATCTGAATAACTGAATAAAATCCACTCAATATATAAAAAATCAAAGGAAACAAATGGATTATAGATTATTATTACGGTAGGTTTGAAGTGGTCGTGTGACAGGAAGTGGTTAGATCTTGTATAATATAATATTTCCATAACACACAGACACAGTCAGATGTTAAATACAGATAGCATTCTCAAATTAACTGGATATGTTAAATAATTTCAAAAATAAATAATAACCAAATGTCATTCTTTGAATTGTCGAATAAATAAAAAATTCGATAAAGTAAAAATTTCTATAACAATTGGCAAAATAGTCCATATTATGTAAATAGTTGGGTGCTCCAGGATTCTATCCTACAATAAATTTAAATTCTAAATCTTCAACTTGGCCCTTTTTGGCAACAAAATCATAACATATTTCGAATTTTACCCTCAATTCTATGGCATTCCAGCACAAATATTCCAAATTTCACATTTTAATGCACTGTAATATAACCAAAACGATTTTGTTCATAAACAACGTAGACGTTCTTTGCTGCATGTTTTTAGATGTCATGTTCCCCAAAAAAGGTTCAACATGATGATGACGTTCAGGTAAATAGCATGTATGATATAACATGAAATAAAGCACTATTTACCTTCACTGATGATCGTAAAATTTGATATATTAGTTCTTGTTAATTATTACCAATATACAATAATTTGAAAAACAGGTCGGATCATAAAATATAGTTCAAACAAAAATTGACATGACTTTCAAAATATGTTTTTAGAGATGTACAAAATTAAAAATTCCATTTTGTACCCGAAAATACAACCAATTGGCTGCGAACCAAGCAAAATAGGCTAAGTTAAGTAAATGTTAGAAGAATCATGCTATCTGAATATGGTACACTTTTGTTGGGTCCACATCAACATTTTGAAATTGTCCTGAAGCAAAAAATGAGTCTCCTAGAAAGAACTTGTGAAATGGTGCTAAATTTTACAACCTAAATCACAATGGTGTTATTCAAATTAGCACTAAGCAGCTGTATGTTTCATACATCACAAAAAATGAACAGCCTCTATTCTAAATTTGTAAAAAGAGAAAAGGAGAGAGAATAGAGTAGGTTAACGCTTCAGTAACTTCTGGTGGCTGCCGCAAAGGGATTATTATGACTGATGTCTACCGTATCAAATTTCTTATCATAAATTAGATCGAAATTGAATCCTATGTCATAATCAAAATGAAGCTGGTGTTAAAATTTGCCCCTTTGAATACAAATAGTGAACTATTTCAATATATAAAAATTAATGCTGAAACTATATCAGTTAAGATAAGTTAGCAAAACAAGATTGTGGTAATTCCAGGAGGCTTTGCGTAATATGTCTCAACGAAGTAAATATGATCAAAAAATTAGCCCATACAAAATTTGATATTTAATGAGGTGATTGCATTATAACCCAGATAACTGAAACCACAGTTTTAAAGTAAATTTGCTCTTTTTGAAGCAAATTCATAATAATCTGTTTAGAATTGGAATGAAACATGATTTAAATCACATAATTGGGCTATTTATTACACTTCAAATTAAAATGTAAGTTACCGCAAATATTTTTAGTATAATAATAAACTATTCAGATACAGACATGAAATAGCTATTCATATTTGATTTTATTATTTGACTCAAGTTAGCAGCGTATAAATTACAAAACTCCCAAATTTCTTGTCAAAATGAAAAACAAAACCTCAGCCAAAACTTGCATTCAAATTTAAATAGGCTAAATAAATAAGATCAAATATATTTTGACGAAATTGAACAGAAAAACAAACTAAAATTAGAATTTTGATATTAGAACAAATTTGCATTCACGCCAAAAATACAACAGGAAGAATAACAAATGAAAAATATACTCAAAAGGTACATTGGCCATATGCCAAGTCAAACCAGTTCATATCCTTGCTATCTGAAATCAATCGAGGCAAAGATAGACACAAATAAGACACTTTCAAGTAAGAAAATGATATCATTTGGAACTTCATCAGCACAGAATCATAATAAAGGCCGCTTAGATGAAAAAAGCCAGAACAAAAGTCGGAATAACTATTAAAAGAATCAGGGATTCCCATTGGGGCTAGTTGGATGAAAGATCAAGGATACAATTAACAGTACATGTGATGCTTTTCCCCTAAAAGAAATCAGTAAAGTATTTACAATTTTAATAAGAAAATGTCTAACTTCATACACAAAGTCTTTATTAATCATTCACCAACAAATGCGTTAACTTATAGGTGATGCAGCTGAGAAGACGTTGAGAAGAGCAGGGTTTGTTTCTTCTTACGCTTTTGCTTCTTTTTCGACTGTTTTTCTACTGCAGCATTAACTTTTCCAGTAGAAGACGAGGCGTCGATCGCATCTAAAGCCATGCTCAGAGCATCTCCGAAAGAAGACTTGTATGTTGGAGCAACATAAAACGGATCTTCCTGGTCATCTTCATCCACCGCTTTTGTCACATTGTTGTTGTATTCTGTTTTTAACGGAGTAGACTGTATTGAAAATTGTTGACGTCTTGCAACTGGCTTAAAAGCACAAGCTTCACCAAGCTTTAACATTTCTGCAAAAGATTTTGTATCGCTATCATGGTGACCTGCTGGAGATGTGCCATAATGTGGTGACATCGAGGCTGATGAAGAATTTTGAGAAAGATTTGGAGATGGAATTTCACTGCTTGTAACAAAAACAGACACTGAACCAGTTGACGCTGAATTTGCAAGAGCTTGGTAACTTTGTCCCGATGACTGACTTCTGATGAAATCTTGAAGCCTTTGGCGTTCTTGAATTTCTGCTTTGCGCCTTGAGGCGTTTTCGTCTCGCTCTTTTCTTTGTCTGTTAACCTTTCTTTGCTTAATCTGACCTTCAAACTCTTGCAAAGTTTCTTCGGAAATGATTGGAGCACGCAAATCAAGCTCCACAATTCTGTATTCGCATGAAAGTGGTAAATGCGAAAGATATTTATGACGTTTTCGCAGCTCTTCTGTCATGACGAAGCGTTCCACATTGACGAGTTCTCCAGTGATTTTGGATGGGCATTTTTGGAAACTTCCATATTCTTTTAAAAGACATTTGACATTGATCCCGTTCAAATAGATATGTTCTCCATTATTTTGCTGATAAAAGTAGTAAGCAGATGGCTTTTTTCTAGCATTGACACGTCCAGACACATTGCTGCTATCACTGCTAGAGATATTGTCTGCTGCAGGGTTGATGGGGTTTTCCATTTCTGTTTTACAAGCCAAGTCATCACGACATAACTCTAAATCAGTGACGCTAAGAGATTTAACGTCAATGTCGCATTGTTGAGATATTTCACCGATAAGTTGGGTCTTCTTATCCTCGCATTCAGTAATTGCTGCCTGAACAAAAATCTTTTCCAAATCATCTAAATCTTCAGCAAGTTTTGATTTCAATTCTTCAAGTTCAAGCTCAATAACTAAATCTAAAACTTGTACTGGAGAGTACTTAGAAATTTTTGTTCTTCGATTCAATGCTTCTGTATCCTTCGTTATTGAGATTTCAGCATTTTCGGACAGAAGTTTGGGAATCAACGAATCTTGTGGACGATATAATAACTCCATTGTAATTTCAGATCCAATTAGAAGTATTGCTTCTTCCTCGATAACAACACTGCGTAAATCTTCTTTTCGAATGTCAACTTGACAAATTGGGCATTCCCGACATCCAGACTTTTTATCTTCAAGCGCAAGATAGTGCAAAATACATGGCCAACAATATATGTGGCCACATTTCGTAATCTTCGCAACAGAAGGTGGGTACAAACAAATCGGACAAAACCAATCTTTTTCAGACTTTACACGAACTTGTTTGACCTTATCCCATGGAACAAGAACATCAGGATCTACATAATGCACTGAATAGTCCCCATCTTCACTCACAATAAATTCACAATTAGCTTGCAAGAATCTTTCTCTGCTAAATGCATTTCCATGAGATGATTTTCTGTTATTTTTGTTGTACCTTATGTGATTAGAGATTGGTTCATCAGCAGCATTCCTAGAATCAAACTTGAAATTGAGCAAATGATTTAATGAAATTTTTTTTGTAGTTTCTTTTACGTTACCATCTGGTTTCAAGTATGATGATCCAGAAGCATATCGTTCATATTTATGCGATTTTCGATTAAGAACTTCGCCTTTGCCCCTCCAATTTCCCTTTCCACTCGAACGATTGCCTAAAAAATCAGCACTCCCTCTCTTGTTTTCATAATAGGTCTTCTTAGGCGTGACTTTGCTGATGTTAGCAGCACTGCTGGCATTGAACGACCTTTCATCTTTGTTTTTCTTATTGTTGTTACTCGCGGGATTAACTTGTGTACTTGATTTTGTGTTTTTGCTATATGGGCATATGGACATAACAGAAATTTATATAAAGTAAGGAAAGCACCAGGGGGTTGCTGTAAAATCAATAAAGAAAAATTATTAGAATGCAGTATTCCTTGAAAGAACAACAGCCGACTCATACTACTAATAAAGACCACTTTCTAAAAAAGTTCATAATATTATTTTTAAATTGAGTTAACCACCTTATTTGTGATCTACCTAATATATATGAATCAGGCACGTGCTTATTAGATCAAGGCATTGAATTATATATTATCGATGCAGCATTTCCAACCACAAAGTGAAAAAAATCCTTTTCAAATTTTTAAAATCAAATTTGGCAAACTTAGACAACTATAATCCATAACAAACAGCATAGAAGAATTGCAACCACACAGATATTTCAAATTATAAATGTTTTTGCTGGAAATAGGAAAAATTAAAATTTTCTGTTTCTATAATGACTTATTATACTTATAATGACTTATTATTATTTATAGAAATTGTAGCCTACAAAAAATTCTATCTCACGAGTCATGACTAGTCTATAAAATTTTTTACGCATAGTCAGTCATTGCCAACGTGCTCAATCTTGATGCCTTAAGGGGAAAAGAAGTCAAATCAATAATTAATTACGCCCCATTTCCGAGCTAAATTTAATCTTATGATCACGTTAAATCAAGTAGGTACATCACATGCCTGATGAAGCTAAGTCTAACCAGCATGGAAAATTTAGCATATGTATTATGTTGCAGCAAGTATGAAGAAGTGATAAACATACAAACTAGTCATAAACTATCTCTGATTCATCTATTCTGCTATTTCTGATGCTAAAAGCAAATTAAAACTGTTTCAAAATCAATTATTATAAACAAATTTATTGTAAAAATTAAAAAACATATAAAAAGTAGGAAATCACATATCTTGTGCTTACACCAAGGTAATATACAATATTTTTTTCGTTAATTTTTATGTTGCATATTTAAATTGGCCACACTCTTACCCAAACCCATCGAAGGAAATTCGATAAACATTATACGCTCAGTCAGTATACACTAGTTACAGCACTTAAATAATAAAACAAAATTTTTTCTGACAAATATTCTAAATAATTTCAATATGTCTACAGCAAGAGATGTAAGTGAAGCAACTGAAGGCTTAAAGGCTCTTTTTATCTTTATCAGTCTTCCAAGTGATACACAATATGAAATTTTTTTTATAAATCAAAAATAGCATTGATTCTTTTCTTAATAGAAAAAAATTTTCTAATGTAATACTACTAATGTAATTTTATCAATAAGTTCTTCAAAAACTCAAATTAAAATATGATTCTATTTGAAATCAAAGAGTCAACAAAAACAAGCTCCCTTAAATGTATTGCTACGAGTGAAAGCACTACAGACATGTGAAATGTAAGACAACCCAATCAAAATTAGATTGGAAGACCTCACAGATCAATAAATCAGTATAAATAAGGTTAGCTGCTGACTAAACCACCGCTCAACGTGTGTTGCAATATCGTATAGCCAAACACGAAGGCATTTGATCTTATTTCAAAATGGAATAATTATTACTGTGAATCCTCGCATATAAGCGGACCCTCTAAAAATGGCCCTCAAACAATGAATTTATAAAAATTTGCATATAAGCCTCCCTACAAATCGTACGCTCTTATCTTGGGAACTTGTCATGGTTCGAGTTGTAGCTGTGTAATTTAGTTAGCATAATGTCATTTTGTTTTAGTGTGATCAGAGTTATGAGTGTATAAGCCGAATTTTTAGTGCAATCAGAGTTATGCACGTATGCCACCCCTTAGTTTGTCATTTTTTTTTTCGAGTTTTAAACTTGACTCATACGCGAGGATATAGGGTAATACAAGGTCAATTTTAAGTATAGCCATCTTTTTCACTTCAGTGTTCATATAGATCTGAATTCATTGTCTTTAAAGGCAAATCAAAAACAATAATGAAAAAATGTTATCTATAACTAAACCTACATAAGTTCTTACGTTAGAAACTTCTTAACAAAAGTATCTGACAATTGAATTATCTCCACTTTATGAATTGTTGGAATAAATCTAACAGTATTATTTAAATATTTAATAGTAATTGCAATATAGAGTACAAGTAAAATTTATCTTACAAATAGAAATGACTTCTTGACAGCTGTGTCAGATATCCCACACCTCTCACGGGACATCAAACGAAAGACTCATTATTATTCTGCCATTTTTTCAGAAAACTATCGGTTTGCCTGATATAATGTATCGATTTTTTATTACTAATAAAGCATTACTCACCGGAATCTTGATTTATATTGGTAGAAAAGTTCTAATGATAACAGGATGAACTAGATATAAATTAGTGATATTTTTCCAAACAGCACAGAATGGAATGATAAACAAAGCTACCAGTTACAATTTCAGCCATTCCGGGTGCTATAATAAAACTATCATGTTTTTTTAGTTTCCAATGATTCCAAACCGTTTTGATGCCATGGGCCATTTTGATGATTTGAGGTTGTAGACCTCTATCCAGTAAAAATGATTAATATTATTAAGTACAAGTGCCGCACACAAATCAGTGTAACAGGTCACTTTGAATCTAAATAAACAACTTGATAATTTGAAAAAAATAGAACAGAATAAACCTTTCATTTGTATGTATAAGATGTTCTGTTATGCAGTACGGCACACTATACAAAACGGGTGACATTGTACCGTTTCAGAGAAACCCATTTTACAGATGATCGTACACCCCTCCTTTGGGAGACGTCTGGACATTGTTGTCCCTCAATATCGGTACCGGTAATAATACAGTATAATGAAGTTGAGCAAAATACTACAAAAAAGCGCAATTTAGTAACCTCATCATTGAATTCCTTGGAAAAAGTTAATCCGATTTACCGAAGGAAAAAAATTTTCACCGTAGCATTCGAGAGTTTTTAGAAAAAAAAAGAGCAATTTTGGTCATGTGACAGCCGCGATTAATTTAGATTATTATTGAGACGAGCATGGAGTGATATGAAGCTTCTGACATGGTCCCAGACGCTCCTCGTTTGTGAGACACATAGAGTGTTTGTTTTATTGAGCCAAATGGAGGCAAATTCTTGGAATTTGGATAGTGTGCTGTACTGTTATGCTGTATTTTACTATTCACTTTATGCTTACAAAGCCCCATTGACCCCACTTATATCAACCCCTGATATATATCAATGTATAAAGTAGTCTATCAGCGGCATTTAATGTATTCGGCTCCTCTGCTCACTCATCGCTACCAGGTGTTAAGAACATTCCACACTGGCAACTCAATGCAAGGCACAAATCCTGAAAAGATGATCATACTGTCATAGGAGAAAGGGATTCTGAACTCATCCAATCATCAATGCATGCCAGCTCAAATAGCCACTGGCAGACTGGTCAGTTCACTGGTTTACAGGTTTATGATTTTATCCATACAAAACATTAGGTTACATAAACTTACAATTTAATCAAATAATGTTTATAGAGTGAATTTTAATTTACGAATATCTTACAAAACTCAATTATCAGATCATAGCTTGCACAGAACACAACAACCAAGATATTTTTAAACCGTGCACTACTACTGTACTAGGAATAGGTAGGTACGGTACCGTACCATACATCAAAGCTGAAAATAGCCACTGGGATAGCTCGACAGTTAACAGCTGCTATGCATTACGATTACAGCATTACGGAAATTGAAATCAACACCACAGTCAGCAGTCCTGTCAGTACAGCCAGACAACTGAGACAAGGACAGTCATCAAGAAATAGAGATAAACTCCTCACTCTGTCATTGATGTCTGTAATGTGATGTGAGATTGTGATGAATTTTTTATAATAGACTACTGTAATATTATTAAAAAATGGCACAATACTGTAATACGACAATAAAAGACACATACCCGGTACCATTGACATTTGAAAACCTGTTTTTCTTAATGCTGTAATAAACTTGCACCTTCAATGATGATATTATCTTCGGAACCAAGACAAAATCCAATACCGTGGGCTACCAGAATACGGTATGCAAACCTTCTGCCCTTTGTCTGTCAGTCTGAGCGTGGGAATGTCACTTTCACTCTGTCGTTATTTACGTTTGAAGTTGCTGTGCTTGTCCTTTCCGTACATAAAACTTGCGCAGATTTTGGTTTGCGAATTTGGAACTGACGCAAATAGACAAACCAACACAACTGTACGGTACCGTACCGGTACGGTACAGGTACCGCATTCCAGCAGTCCAGTGTCAACTTTTCCTCACTCAAAAGCAATGATAAGTCACCGTATAATTCCGCTAATTGCAAGACCGCATAAATGAGACAACTCTTTCTAACACTCCGTAATAATCTGACATTTTTGGCTTCAAACTAACTAAATAGACGTATTTCAGTATTTGCGCGGTTGTACTTGTAGAACTTCGAGAGTTTTTTTGAGATGTCGTTGGCTATCAGTAGTTGCTTTACCTGGCCTCGTTCGGGGAGGAAGGCGCGAGTTAGCGATGTGGCGTTAGGAATACACTCACCAACGCACCTCTGATTACTCGTGGGTTCGCAAGTTCGAATCCTATGCGGGGATGGTTATGTGCGAGAGGATTGCTGGACTCCTCGCCGCTGTAGGATGGTTCACGTAACCGCTGGTCGGTTACGCATCCCCCCACCATCAAGTCCATGCTTCTAAAAACAAATACCCGATATGGAATGATACCGTAACCGGACGAGAGGACGTGGTTCGCCATATGGTTAAGCCGTCTTATCGGCTTTCTTCTCCCCCGGTATAAATATGTAAATCCTATCGGCTATCCTCTCCTGGTGGCTGGCTACGCACTTGCAGCGTTGATTCGGATACCGTGGAAGATGATTATGTACGAGAGGATTGCCGGACTCATATCTGTCGTGGGGTAGTTCACGTAACCGCTCGTCGGTATATGCCAGGGGTCGGCCAACCTGCCTTCGACTGAGATCGACCAAAATCACGTAATACCTTGCGGTCGACTGACAGAGATCAACTCCTGGAGAGTGCTAGAAACAAAGGCATATAAAGATTCACAATTCTTTCGATGACCGCTTCTCTCGGAACTCTCGCTTCGCCCGGAACTAAGTTTACACTAGAGATTCTCGGTCAGGGTTGTCCATAGTTTTAGCGCGACCGGCCGTATTACCCTATTTCCTAAGCTCTCGCCGCATAACCACTCTTGCACCTGCCCATTTTTTGTGGGAACTACATATTAAGCCCTTAATATTTATCTGATACTTCAAATATTACTTCAACCAACTTCATTACAACATATCCGTGTATAAGTTCTGGTTATAAAGTTTAAACTATTCGCAAATTTTTCACCGCATAGAAAACAGATCTGAATATTTTTCGATCTTGGGTCGCCATCTTTTATTAACTGAGGCAATTGTAGAATGCTTTTGTCAGTAGCATAGACATGCATCGCTTTTTTGCCAAATAGAATCGCGTTATTAGAGTTAGACATTTAAACTGCCCATAGTTAGAGGTCCGCATACGATCTGTTTTGCTCTAGTCAATATATATGTGCAATCAGTGAGATTTTTTGAGGCAATAATCAAAAATACGGTAAATAATGGCGAAAGGGTTCAAACTCCGTTGCATTGCGACTTCGCGGAATTGTCCAGAAACAGGATTGCGCATTAAGAAAATTGACATTAATTAAACTGGTTATTCTGACGTACCTGCTACTTTTACGAATATGAATTTTGACACGCCAGAGAAGACAAAAATTGTCACAGTCAATGGCTTTATACCGACACAGCGATCGAGTCTGGTAAGAAGAAGATGAACTCGAATCCTTGCTGCGGACAGGCCAAATTGATAACGAGGAAACTTTCGGCCTTGTTAATTTGTGAGCGCCCATTGTCAAGCTCTTGAAAAAGCGTGAGGAGAAGACACTTTACGAGATGTCTGATGTGATGCGAAATAAATTCTCTTTAATATTTTCGATATTAATTGAAAGTCAATTCCTCGTTTTACGGAAAATTTGAAACTTTACTAACACTTAAAAAAGTGACGAGGCAAATGAACCTCCCCTGCTCCTGGCTCCATAATATTAAAAAGTAATTCGAAAAAATAAATGTAATTGCATCCCAGCGACTCCAATAGTATGAAAAAGGCTATTTTTTCTCAGCAACAACAAAATAACAACAACAACAAGTATTAAAGCAACGCTATCTTATTTTAATATGAGTTCATGCAAACAAAAAGTTTATTATATCATGAAATAAATGCGTAAAATTTAACTCATAACTATGAAAACCTTGAGTAGTATTGTAATAGCGTATAATCTTACAATAGTGATCAGGCAGAAATATGACAAACGTTAATGAAAATCACTTCAAAGTTTTACATATTGAGTCCACGGCGCTCATATCTCATTTCTATGATTTTTGAGAAAGCTGATTACATCTTTCCAGCACTTTTCTTGTGTTGCTGCATGTTCTTCCAAAATACCTCCAAAATCAGTGGGATGTTCCGGACTGATAGGATAGTAGGCAATGATGATAGGAGGAGTATATGGCGGACGAATAACATGCCCAGAGTTTTTGTATTGAATTATGTTGAATCTTGGCTGACTTGATGATAACTTGAATACCTGTTTCGTCAATTCGATTATTTCCGTGTTACGATAGAGTTTGTCATTTTCAGAATAGCAAAAAAGAAAACTTGCTTTAGAGTCGTAAAACTCCGGTACATGAATCTTTAGATCTGACAAATGGGGAGTTTCGTGCACATCAATGTGATTCTGAACTCCCTCCAATAATTTGATCCGTTTTTTATTCATCGTAACTGATACCCAGGACTTGCTTTTGTATCTGATTGGTATTCCCAAGCTGGAGAAAACAGGGCCGTTTATATTGACGACTGTAGAAATTTTTGGAGAGAACTTAGCTACTGCCAAACCTAGGGTACCCCCATACGATGATCCAACAACAGAAATGTCATACTGGCGAACTCTCGTGTGACTGGAAAGAAAATCAACCGCTTCCTCTAAGTAGTCTATATCCCCATAATCCAATGTTTCTGGTCGATTGGGGCATCCATATAAACCGAGGGCAAGAACAACAAAGCCATGGTTGGCTAAAAGAGATGCTCGGTCTTCATATATGCCAGGCATTGCTCCTTCAATATCCAAAACAGCGGGTAAAACTCCGTCTCCGCGAGGAATAAACAACGTACCACTAATTGTACTGCTTACATGTCGCAAAGGGATGCGTTCAACTGAGGAATCACAATATACGCGGGAAACTGTAGTTTCTGTAATGGATTCGCTGTCAAAGATATCTTGCTCGCTCAAATGATTTTCAAATAATTTGAGTACTATATTTGCTGGGATAGTTACGTCAGTTTTTGACAATACCGCATAAGACTTTTTAGGGTTTACGGGTCTCTTCATAGCCCAGAACAAACCCATTTTCTGAATTCCGTTATAACTACCTCCTACGGCAGGATCTTTCTCCAAATCTATATCACCATACTTGCTCGCAACGTAGTGCGCATATGCATGAAACAAATATCCATGATCACTTATTTCAAGTGACTGGATTGTTATTGATTGACTTGGAGGCAACCCATGAATTTGTATTCTTATTGATTCACCAGCAAAAGACGTCACAGGAGCAGTAATTGTAGCCATTTCTCGAGAGAAAATAGTTCTATGCTGTTTTCCTTAAAATTTATTATTAAACTTAGTACGACAGAAAAGCCAACAGCAACCAATTATTATGTCTGTCTCTCCACACAATTCAGCAAACTTGACCAAATGATTCATGCAAATCTATCTGTTTATATTAAATACCATGAAATACAGTTACATCCCAATCAATAAGCTTTTTATCTTACCCCATATCCGAAAGCGAGTCAGATTCACCTGTAATTGAACTTAAAAATAGACCAACAAGTCACGCACAAAAAAGTACGGTCACGATGTTTTATATATATACATGTTTCCGTTCACTACGGCCTCCATCTTCCTTTTCTCCGTATAATTTATTCGGCGTAAAATACGAAACATGCTCTTATTATCGAAGTGAATGTTACACAAACCACAATTCAATGAATTACAATCGACTTGTTCACTCTATACTGAAAGATGATTTGAACTCGTGAGTAATTTAGAACCACCATCACTTGTGTATATTATACAAGCATATGAACATGAAAGCATTAGTCCAATAGATGCTATGAGAAAACACACACGTCACAAAATATGACAAGCGGGTTGCATTTACCTAATTCAATATTTAAATTCAGATTTTCAAGCTTGCTATAAAATTATATATATATATATATATATATATATATATATCAACTCGTCATTCTGAAAATAATTTGAACGTAGGAGAAAATTTTATGAAGGTCACTCTAATATACGATATCCGGTAATGGGCTTATGTCTCAATACGGTCCGATAAAGATCGGGAAAAAATCGCAAAATCAACGGAAACATAAACCATCCTTTTCTATATGCTTTTGGGATGTTTGAATCAATATGCGCATAATGCATGAACACTTTCCTACGAATATATATTGATAACTACTCGTACATTATGTGATTTCAGAATTGGGTTGCCAACTTTGACAAACTTCAATAAAGAACACTAAGGATCTTAAGTTTCAAATTAAATAATTGCTTATAATGGAGACATACATCACGATGATTGATTGAATGACTTAATTCCTTAGTTCGGTAATGATGTTACCTATGCATTGCAATGGTTTGCCATTGAAAGAATTATGATTATTATTGTTCCGGAGTTCAATAGCCTATTGGCCTATCTATTCTATCTTGTATTATATTTCGGCATTCAGTCGAAACAAAATTTATAATTCATTTATTTTCTAGTTTGAAACTGGCATGACTATATAATGCTGCATCTTTTTGAACAAAAATGATCTTAAGGACTGAATGTCCTACTTAGATCATTGTCAAACTGACATACATCTAGCTTGACATGGCATTTAAAGGATAAGTTCCTCAACTCCATCATGTAGAGCCCATCATTCACTGATATACAGTATATATATATATATATATATAATATATTCTATCGACTGTTTGTATATACTATTATTGTTCACTATCATCTAAAGCCCATAGAATTTTATTGTGCAAATGAGTTCTCAACAAAACATGCCCTCCCCAATATGAAGTTTTCTGTGATTATATCGAAGTTGTTAAAGTATATATTATTTGACAGACCATCTTTTATTATAGTCATTTTTAATGTGAACCTTGATCACATCAGCAAATAAGGCGGAAGTTGACCTCGATGACGGCATGGCTGCATCGCTCGATCTTGTCCATACCAAGGCAATGTTTATTTCTGTTACATATTTTTCGTATTGATTTTGGTTGACAAAATAATAAATCTCTCTTCTCTATACGGAACCAGGTTCTGTGGATGGGATCAGTATTGTACTTGATCAAAGTGTAGTATAATATTTATACAATTTTACACATGCCCTCTGAACTATACTATAAATCTGATGTAAAGTGTCGAATAGTAGAAAGGAAAAAAAAACTTTAATCCGTTGACTCAGTTTCTGTCTTTATTTTATAATTTCATATTGTGATAATTCATATAGTCCAGCGGATAAGAGGTGAAATCATGCACTTTTGGATGCAAGCATGAAACTTGGCACACATGTACAGTAGCATCCCCTGATCAATTTTGGATATAATGCCATCCAAGAAAATACCCCGTTGCCATGGAAACGAGGCATCATTCGTATTGCTATAAAAGTGAAAGAAACATTACTTTAGGAAAGGATATTTTCAAGATAAGTAAACCGGTGTGTATTAAAGAAGTAAAGAATATGATCAGAAGTGCATTTTGACAATTGCCCTTGATAACAGAATACCTGGTTACCATGGAAACGAGGTATCGTTATCGACCAAACACGATTATTAATCGCACAACCTGAACCTGACTAAGAAGGGCAATATAGATATTTACTATTTTCACACGACACAGATAGCTAACGACAATATATGGAAGAGTAGAATGTTCCTAAAAGTTTGTTCCAAGTATCGAATTTAATTAGGCAATTTATTTCATGCATTATAATTGCTTTGTTTGAAGTATATATCTAAATAGTAAAATTGCCCCCACTAGTTATTGTGGAGTCTTTGTGGAATATATTTTTGGGAAATATAATTATTTCAATCGTTTTTCTATTTATTCTTCATTGTAGCACTTACATAAGGCGACGTTAAATCTATTTCACAAGAATCAAGATTCCAGCCGAGTTTGAGCTGGAATGTAATGCAAGTCCGTCTTCCACAGAATATCTGGCTGAGATACTCCATGCCAGAGTAATGAGAATGAATTTATCTTCATTAATATATATGATGACGATATGATAGCTCCAAGATAACAATAATCCGTCAGTTATGAGATATATACCGTATTTCCCGGCGAATAAGTCGCTTTCCTAGACCCAAATTTTTGGCCTGATTTTGGGGTGGTCGTCTTATTAGGCGAGTATGATCATTTTCATTTTTTTGGTGTCGCCCTATTATTAAATCTGGACAATATAATACCTTGGGCGATAGGCGATAGCATCTCCCTCTCATCAAGTTAGTTTAAATAAATCGACATTCTCGCGCTGTGAATCTGGAATTTCAATGCTGTGATTATCATATTTGAAGTTGCCGCATTTGTGTGGCTATCACCGATACACGTGGGCTTGCAATTTGTGAAAATCGTCAATTGTTTTTGTCATCGTGATGTCTTATTTGAGCCGTGAACATCTTTCATTTCAGCATTCATTCTCCCTAAGTCAGAAATTTGCAGCGAGGACAACGATAATTACTTTATTGCTCTCAAGCAACCGTGGCATTTGTGTTGCGAGAAACGAGTTATCACATGAGACAAATAAAGGAGTGAATATGTGGCCCAAATTTTCTTTACTACATAATCATGTGTGACAGCAGGCTAAGATAAATAAAGAGTGAATACATGACCCAAATTTTCTGATTTAAAAGCGGCATTATAAAATACTAAAAATAAAACGGAAACACCATTTAAATTTTATTTTAGGAAGGCCCGTGACGGTTAAAGAGGATTTTTAGGTCTTACAAATCACAAAAACATTTTTTGTTCTACAATTACCGACAGGGCCATACGAGACTATGCTATGTGTTTATAACACCGTGATTACGGTAATGTAAAGTATATTTAATTCATTATTTTGACATAAATTTTACTCGGTGGGATACTATCGCTGACTTAAGGTTTTTTCCTACCGTAAAACCCTCAAAAACAACCTATATATAATCTCAATGAAGCAACACATTTCGTTTTGTGGAGGTTCCGTGGTGATGAATATGTATGTTCCATATAAACACCTTATATGTATATTTATTCATAAAAACTAAATATAATCAGGTAGTTTATCTCACATTATAATTTCCGCAGATTGTCGTGTTATATTAGATCGGTAATGTTCTTGTATGGCGGACGCAATCGCGAGTTGAACACAATTAGATTGAAATTGGAAGACAGTTTGTATTCCCGTAGTTGTTATGGATTGAATATTACGCTACAAGAAAAAGTCATTATAGGCTATTATGGTAATTTAATATCCCGATGTTGATGCGATTTTACTACCCTGACTTATTGGTTATATGCAAAAACCTATTTTTTTCGGGCTTAAAAACGGGCCTGGTCTTATTCGCCGGGTAGACTTATTCACCGGGAAATACGGTATTTTATATTTTCACCAGCTTTATGTGGCTATGAGTTTGAAAATATACCATTGGCAAAGGCAGTTGTTGAGCACAAAAGGAATTAAATTTTGAAAGTGAATGTAGCTTAATTTGTGATTCATGACAATATCATGAATACTTCCAGCACGTGTCTATCACAATAGGAATTGCTCCAAAACAAACCCAAGTTTGTAACAAGCGAGGTGAAATCAGTACCAATCTGTTTATTCAATAAACAAAGAATTTACAATTGATAATGAAAATTTATTGTTAATTCGGTGCAGTCGATGCATGAAAACACGGTAATTTTTCCAAGCGTAGTTTGGCTGGGATATGTTGATCAACTATAATATGCATGTACATAGAAAGTATGTCCATTAAATAGTAGGGATGGGGGAGCTCTAGAAGTATGTGCACCAAGGTGGCGCACAACATGAACGTAGTATTTGTGTTCCGGTCAGCGTTCAGGTTGTGCAACTAATAATCGTGTTTGGTCGATAACGATACCTCGTTTCCATGGTAACCAGGTATTCTATTATCAAGGGCAATTGTCAAAATTCACTTTTTATCATATTCCTTACTTCTTAGATACACATCGGTTTACTTCTTAGAAATATCCTTTCCTAAAATAATGTTTCTTATCCTTGGATAGCAATACGGATGATGCCTCGTTTCCAGGGCAACGAGGTATTTTTTTGGATGGCATATCCAAAATTAATCAGAAGATGGTACTGTACATGTGTGCCAAATTTCATGCTTGCATCCAAAAGTGCACAATTCTATCATATTTGAGGTCTTATCCGCTGGACTAATACTGACAGTTTGATCACAGCGTAAATAAAATGGTCAGGAGCCTCGGTGACCTGTAAAGGCCAATCAGCAAGATGCAAAAAGTGACGTAACAATGCTCCCTTTTCGCATCCGCTCAGACACTTCACTCACTCAGACAGTTTTTCAAGCGTGGTCGTAAACATTACCTCATTTTCGCGTTTTTGAATTCTATTCGTTAGTTTTCAGTTGTGTTTCAGAAACTTAAATAAAAATCAGATATTCCAATGCTCACTCTGTCTTCCTAGCGGTTTTAATTTAACTGCAGTAATAAAAAAAATAGTGTAGAAATAGCTGTGATAGACTAGGCTGAAATTCTTTACCGGTACTTCTAAAACAGATTGTTGTATGCGATGAATCATAATGATGGTTTGAAACACATACCCCATTTTACAGGCGCTAACTCGCAAAAGCACTCTTAAAATAGCCCCGAAAATTTTGCAATGGTAAAATATAGGAAGCATATTTTTGGGATCAAAGGTCGGTCTATTGTTCCTTTTTTAACATTGTTTTTCTCTCTCTTTTACGCATATGGTGTGCAGAAATGCCATTATAGACAATACTACACAAGTAGTATATTATCGTGTGCATGGAAACCTCTAAATATTTACGATTGTGAAATGGCTCATACTCAACAAACTAATTGTAAGATGCCACGCACATTCATATATTATGGTAACAAGTTCCAGTATGCAACATAAAATTAACATAAGATTACCTATTGAGGAGACCTAAAATCTCTAATTCACGTATTTTTACTTTATCAGCTAATATTGGGGCAAGAGAGCCTAGCATATTTCTATGCAGGATAATAGGAGGAAAATACCACCAAAGAATAAAAAAATAAACACCGAGCTTGAATTTTGATGCTAATTGTTCAAAAAATTCGTCCCTAATGAAAAATTTCGTTATTTTTTGAATCAAATATGAAATTCCTGTGTAGATTACATCAATAAAAACGGTTAATCCAAAACAGCTATAGAATGAAACGATCCAAGCTAATATCCATAGTGCAATACAAATATTTGTAGTAAAAACAGCTGTGGGATTCGACAGATACAAAATACTTCCGCAAACGATCCAAATCAAGAAACCAAGGCCTTGATAATAAATCATCATAACTAAGGTTATTAGGAATATTCCTCCCTTCGGAAGGTCGATCATGAATTCTTTCTGGAAAAGTACAAAGAGTGCGTTATTATTTTGCTTGATTAGGTATTATAGTGACACTGACCATACTACGTACACTGCCCATACTACTTACAGTGACAATACGTTTAAATGTGCTAAAAAACAGCAAATTCTAACTCCGGTAACCGGTTTAACGCAGTTTTTAGTAGTAATTGTTCATGAGATATTCCTCATTTTTCGAATAACGAGGCTTCAGAAAAGCAGTCAATCAAAGATGCAGACCGATATAGAAGTTAGTATGTTACTTCTTTCAGAAAAACAGAAATCTTTGGAGACCGGCATATTGCTTACCTAATTTAAAAATAGGTTAAAAATTATTGAGGTCGCATTTAAAAGAATCACATAGCAATATACTTACATTAGTGTATTGCGGAAGCTCTTGCTGCTGCTGTTGTTGTTGCTGAGACCGTGCGCTACGTCGATGGGAAGTGGGTCTTGTGGTGTTACCCTGTTGCCACGAACGTATACGTTGCATCGCCGAGAAGATTGTGATTTCAGATATATCAGTTTGCCGGCTATCAACGATCCCTTCATTGTTCAAACTTTCCAGCGAAGCAGAAACGTGTTCCTGATTAGGTTGAATTGGATTGATTGGAGCCGGAAAAGGATTTTTAACGGCTAGGCACAATGGACATTCCCTGTATAAAAAAAAATATTCTGAACCAAACTTCTGAAGAAGCTTGACCGCGATTTCGCTAGATTCGATTAAATTATTTCTTGTTTTGGCCGATATTGCTACTCATTTGGTCTTTCAGCAATAGAATAAGATCGTATGCTACAATGTGATTGCTTCACGACTTTGTTGAAAAAGCATAATATATTACAATTACCGTCTCTGGGCGTTTAACCTTCTTTGACATTTGCCACAGAATGAATGTCCACATTTGACATCGTTTTCTGTGTGCATTCGAAAGCACAGACTGCAAATTCTTGCGAGCTGCAACGTTTCGACTCGATGAAGTTTTTTGCTACAATTAGCTGGGCAACGGACTTTGCTGTGAAATATAATTGTGAACACAATTTCACAAAGACTGTCAAGATTGAAATTTTAACAAGCATGACATAACACATTCCTCTGAAGAAGTAATCACTTAAACACTTATGAAATCACTAGAATCACAATGAAATCACTAGGACCAAAAAGTCAGGCAGTCACCAAGGAATAGTTATATACTTACAATTCAGGAGACTGAATCGTTTCGATGCAACTGAAGCAGTATAATCTCGAACAACAAGAAAACTTTCTTGGACTTTTGAGAAATAGTTTGCATTTTTGACATCTTACCGGTCGAGGAAGACTCCGGATATTCTCAAATAAACAAGGTTGTCGACAGGCATGACAGCTCACAGCTCTAAAGAAATACTTTATTAAAAATCACAAATTTTTATGCCATTTATAAGATACCTAATTGGCAAGGCAAATATATTACTATTTTGATATTCGGATTTATTTTGCATTTTGAATAATCGAAATTGGTTACCGATAACAGAATTGTCACCTTTTTCGAGTATCGAAATTCACGATGAGGAAATTCTTTACGCTGTGTAATAACTATAAAATAACCGTTCACGTCATATTGATTGAATGTATGAAATGGTAAAATTAAATATGGTAAACTAGGACGCTTGAAGAGGAAAACGTTTGTTATTGTAAATAGCTAATAATAAATACCTAATTTTTCCGTTTTGTGTCATACCCATTATACACTTCAAGCAAGCAACGTGCCAACATGGTAACATCCTTATATCATTCCTCTCCTCAAAACATATAGCACAAGTTTTTTCATCGTCTTCGTCATCCATCATCTATGCACTATATTTGTATAATATAATGCTAATTTTATAAGCAAAAAGAAACACTGGTGAATAGTGACTTTAATTCGTCTATCTTGGGATGATAGCGTACTGTACCCAATATTTACCCGTCTAGTGTGTAACCCGGAAAATTATCGAAAATAGTCCCAGCGCCGCGGGCGAACATGCCGAGTCCGCGGGCATATGGTGAGATAACGCTTTCCTGACTACTCCCGCTATGCTATTCTCAGGTTTTTGAAACAGAAACTTCACATATACCATTTTAGCACAATTATCAAAATTCCGTTGAATAAAAATAGACTTAACATTGGGTTGATGGAAATATTTGTACATACAGTAGGTTACCGTAGCCTATGTTCTTCCGATGTAAAAAATCGAAACATCTACCTGCGACGGTTTTAACTTAACAATTTCCAATCTATTCACTCAAACGACATGAAACTGTATCCGAAGAAGTCTTGCTGACAATACTGCTATAACTGTATGCTGCGATTCGCCTTGCGCTCATACACGCATCTCGAAGTCTGTTAGTTAATTGAACTATCTAATTCCGGTACACTGAACGCGTGCGCGACCCATTTCGACGGTTAGGCTATATATATTATAACTTTTATTCGGCTATCTCATTCACAAAGTAAACATGTTCATCATATTGGGCAAAACTTCTACTACCTACATAACGATGCTACATTGAATCGAAGCACTACTTGCCTTTTGAAACAATCTACGCGACAATCAAACCTCTCACATAGCGTAACGTCCTCTCACATGTGTTTGAGCTGTGTTCCATCACAAATTTTCTGATACGAATCTTTTCATTCTTCACATATAAACGTGGGTCAAGTTCTCTCAGCGTTGAATTTTCTTTAAATCTGACTGCGGCGAATTGAACAAATCAAAAGCAGTTGTACTTGTTTTCAGGCCAAACTAAACTGAAGACCAAGACAGCGTCGTACGCACACACACTATTTAGTCTGCGGCAGGAAGTGATACGCAACGGCGCGTATCGACAAATATTTACAAAGTTTACAAGTCTGGTCAGATTGGCATCGACTGTCAACCGTGGGTATAGCAGTGGGTCGAAGGCTTGAAGTGCAAATTGAGGCGCCCGATTAATACATAATAGCATGGTCGTTCATTTTATATTTTAGGACACAAAGTGTACATATGTAAGAAGCTTTTCTCCTCAACTATAACGCAGTGAGTCGAGTCAATGACATCAATGACATTAAACAACATGATGCGCAACTCCGGCATTTTTGGCCGAAGATCGTATCTGATAGCACGCTCCAATGCACATACTTGACGAGACGAAAACGAGCGGATGTGTGCTGCTTTCAAGGCATAGCACAAATGGTGTTCGTGCCTGCTTTGACAGTTGTTGTCGATTTTAATGATATTTTGGAAAGTTGAGGTAAAAAGAAATTGGAAAAGGGTAAGGTAAATACTATTGTTGTATATCACACCCGGGCATCGCACTGTTAAGTACATGTGGGAAAGCCAGCCTTTGTCAAATACTACGAAGTTATTAATTCAGTACGGTACGTAGTTGCCCATTTGCCGAAATTGCATATTTACTTACCCCTTATGGTTTCAAATTGTTCATGCACCTCCATTTAGATTTTTTTTTAATCAGTGAGGATATATACTCATTGCTGTAACATACTATTGCTCATTCACTTTTATTTGCGTATTGAATCAAAGGGTTAACAAGTTCACCTAACATTCACTCATACCGGACGATATTGTATAGTCTGATCTCTCAAGTATTTGGAGCCACGAATGCTTGTAATTTTCTGACTAAACCCTTTTATTAGTTGGTTTATATACCAAATTCAGTAAAACATATTTTACATAAAACATGAGATATTGGATTCATTAGCTTTTCCATTCTAAATCATATAGACTGCTTTATTTATTCTTAACTAAAATTAATAAATCTCCTCTCTTTCTCCAGATGTGAAAGTTGTGGACAAACCTGTCTAAGCATTGTGAGACTCCTGCAGCACAAGAAGCAATAGCAAAAATAGTAAGTATATCAATCAAGAAATTAAGCCGACATAAAGCAAAACTTTCAACTATTCGTCTAACCTCAATTTCCTATTATTTATTCACAGGACAACTGTAGCAGAGGGTAGATATCAAAAGTCTGGAGACATATCATTGACAGTGTGATTCCAAGAAATATAATTTGAGTACTCCATAAATGTTTGCAATAGAAGAACAACCTATGGAGTCATGCAAAGACATTTGACCCTCCGGCAGAGTTGTGTATGGCCCCCATATCCTGCAGGGCATGAGGAAAATAACTAAAAATTCCAAAGCGTAAGATTCCATAAGCGGTCTTATTTGTAAAATGGCACAAAACACGCCAGACATACTTAAAACAGCTTTGGAAAATGAGGATTACGGGTCACTCACTACACCTGTGTTATATTTGGTTCATCAACTTTTGGTAGTACTATAGAGGAAATTCAGGAAAGGGTATAATCATGATTCACGATAAAATACAAACCTTTTAAAGTAAAATTGATTATTCACACAGAAAACAATTTACTGAAAGTAGTTTTGGAAAATTAATTTTTTTTGTTCACATTTTGACCCAATTAAGAATACACATCAAGCTAGCAAAAGAATACTTGAATAAAACACTTGAGTGAATAAATTAAACGCAAGTACATGAAGAAGGTGGCATTTTCGAAGAAAATGGGAGTTGCAATATTTCTGCATTTCACAAAATTCTGAAGCAAAGAAGAATTCTGTTTAATTTGTCATATTTCCATCAGTACAATGAAAAAACATAATAAGCTCAGCAGTCAATATGACAAATTCGAAGAGCAACTTCGAACAGAAAATTTCCATGTGTTTGTATATTAATATAATTATACAACGACTTAGTTACTAAAAATCAATATCAATAATAATTCAAGCAATCCTATGCCACGCAATGTGGCGCGAAATGTCTTGTCGAAAAAATCTGTCATTTGTTTTTTTACTGATCTATACATGAAATGATAAAAGTAACTTTTTTTGCATTACTGGAATTATTTAAACATTCGCAAAGATCCAGATTAACCCATGATTATGTAACCTCGTGAGTTAGAGTGGGTACTATAAAATCATTTCAGCCTGACCTTAGTATGCTGGTGACACATAAAAGATGCCAAACGTCAGGACAAATGTAATTAAAAAAACAATGGGTTTATACTGTAGTATTTTTGTCAATTTTAGGTCCATATATTTAGATTAAGTGTATGTAATATTCTTTCCTTATCCAAAGCTTGTTTAAAAATAATTTTGATGGTTGTACATAGAATTTTATGATTTTTTGTAAAAAATACAGTAACTTGCAATAATAGTGGAATGCAAATATTAATATGTAATTGCATTTGAAATTAAAGAAAATAATAAAACCTAATCCAACTGTTTATTTGCATCACAATATATGTCACAAACTGAAACTATCTTTCAACTATACATTATCAAAAACTGTTTGCGGCCCATTTTACAATTTTCAAAATGCAATGCGGCTCTCGAAAACCCATGAGTTTGACACCACTGATCTAGACGATTCAAGCATTGCTTTGGGAAATAATATCACTTCAAATAAATTGAAAAAAACTCGCTATATTGAATACAAAATCGTTGCTATCATAAAGGTAAACCAATTCAGCCACTCGGAATATATTGGCCTTCACAAAGCAATAGGGGCAAAATTGAGAGTTCATGAGCTCTGAACTGTTGTTCTTTTCTTTGTCTTGAACTTTTCATACTCCACAGCCCCTATTAATTTTTTTTCAATTTTAATTACCATGTGGTGGTCATATATATCTTTAACTTGTATTTCCCTGTCATGGTATATTATCTCAATGTGTCAAACTTTTAATTAGTGTGCATATTTTGCTTCCAGATGACATAAATGTATTGTCTTGTTTATTACCTCAACTTGGAGTATTGACAAGAAAAAGGTGCTAGTAAATTACGTAAAAATTTTTTTAACGTTTTGTTATAATCAGAATTCACAATTAATAGAAAATATAAACAGCCAACAATCAATGAGAATTATATGCGAAATCCCTCAGAATAAATTTGTCTTCTAAAATCGGAGGAAGGCAAAACATATAGGTAGTTCCCATTCACACAAGTCTTTCAAGAGGACTTGCTCGAGCCAAACTAAATGAGCATCGTCAGTTGATCGGTAAGGCTGAAAGTTGATTTTAGTCCTGCAACCTCCTGCATCGAAGATAATATTAATTAGTGAGCTATGAGCTAAATTTAGACACAAACCTATCTACGGGGCATTATGTACCAGAAATGTTACCTACGATTAACTGAATATGTAATATGTCTAATAAATTCACCTACTAAAGCAAGTTCGATAGGTGCAAACTTTGTGTTATGGAATTGTACCACAGCACCGTAAAAAGAAGTACAAACAGTTTTGCTGTTTTGTATGACACCCTCTTTAAATGAAATTTCAATGTTTAAGCGCAAACATTAAAATTACTAACTTTGAACTTTGTCATTATCTGCAAAATATTCCACACAAATCTTTACGCTATCGCGTTTGTAATCTTCTCTGATAAAAAAACGTCTATGATGTCCAGAATTACTCTTCACAGCTTGTCTGCAATTCCAGCTTTCCAAGTGAGCAAAACTTCTTAGATATAAGATTATTTTCTTTCGTTACAGGCGCAAATAGGAAGGTACTACACGTAAAGAAAACGCCGAGTAGCAAAAGCGAGCGGAAAACGGTCGCGAAAGGCGACGAGAAATATGTGCATTGGAGCGTATCATGAAATACAATCTTTCGCCTGTAGCCTTATGGAGTGACGTCAGAGTTGCCTATCATGTTGTTTAATGTCATTGATGACATGCCTTTTTGCGCCTGTAACGAATGAAAATAATCATTATATCTAAAAAGGTTTTGCTCACTTTGAAAGCTGGAATGGCAGACAAGCTAGCTGTAAAGAGTAATTCTGGACATCATAAACGTTTTTTTTATCAGAGAATATCACAAACGCGATAGTGTGAAGATTTGTGTGGAACATTTTGCAGATAATGACAAAGTTACTAATTTTAATGTTTGCACTTAAACATTGAAATTTCATTTAAACAGGATGTCACACAAAACAGCAAAACTGTTTATACTTCTCTTAACGGTGCTGTGATAAGATTCCATAACACAAAGTTTGCACCTATCGAACTTGCTTTAGTAGGTGAATTTATTAGACATATTTCTTAACAATACTCCAAGCCGAGGTAATAAACAAGACAATACATTTATGTCACCTGGAAGCAAAATATGCGCATTGCACACTAATTAAAAGTTTGACACATTGGGATAATACATCCCGACAGCAAATACAAATTACAATACAAGTCATACAATATACCGCATCGCATTTTGGAAATCGTAAAAAGGGCCGCAAACAGTTTTTGATAATGTGTACTTGGAAGATATTTTTAAGGTAGTTTTAGTTTGTGACATATATTGTGATGCAATTAAACAGTTGGATTAAGTTAAGTTTTATACTATTTTCTTTAATTTCAAATGCAATTACATATTAATATTTGCACTCCACTATTATTGCAAGTTACTGTATTTATTACAAAAAAATCATAAAATTCTATGTACAACCATCAAAATCATTTTTGAACAAGCGTTGGATAAGGAAAGAATAATACATACACTAAAAATGACTTAATCTAAATATATGGACCTAAAATAACAAAAATACTACAGTATAAACACAATGTTTACTTAATTACATTTGTCCTGACGTTTGGCATCTTTTTTGTGTCACCAGCATACTAAGGCCAGGCTGAAATGATTATATATTACCAACTCAAACTAACGAGGTCACATGATCATGGGTTAATCTGGATCTTTGAGAATGTTTAATTAATTCCAGAAATGCAAAAAAGTGTATAGATCACTATACAAACGAATGAAAGATT